ATCCTCACGACTCTGGACGTGAACATCATTGTAGCTTTAAGACGAGTCTTGCACGTTAACCTCTGTAGCAATGCCACCCCATACGCAACCATTTATTATCGATGGATCAAAGAATGCCCTTTCGAGTCAAAGTGCCCTTGCTGATACTCTGTAGCTAATGTTCTAGTGTCAGTGATAATGTAACGGGGTGAACCGTTACATAACAATTTATAAGAAATTGTTAATAGAATATAACTATAAGAGTTATATTCTGAGAATATTGTCATAAGGACAAATATTCTGTAGCACTTACGAGTAGTTCCTAATTGGTTGATATAGGCCATTATATCAACCAACGAAGACACACCACGACAGGCGCACGCAATGAGTGGTGAGCAGATAGTTGATATGCACATTTGTATTTAGACATAGTTAGATGAGGATAGATAGTGATTTATTAACAGACATTAACTATGATAAATACAGTTCTACTTTTTACTTTAACCAATTACTCGCTTCTCCTTAACGTCTTCCTCTGCACGTACGAGTGTACGTGAAGTTACGAGGCACCGCCTTATTCTGTCTTCAAAATAAGTAGCTTGTACTGTCATCAGTACAAGCTTCAGGGTGCCCCGTTACACCTGGTAGCACTTCGTAGTCCGTCCAAGGACCACGTTCACATCTAACATGAATATGTTAGATGATGATCATGACCAAAGCTTTCACGCTACGCGTGACGGCTACTCCCATTTGAGCGATGTCGAATGGGATGCGGTTGAACGAATGGGTTCGACCATGGGCATCCATGCTGTTAGCGTCATGCTAGATGCTCTCAATAGAGATGCCCAACATGCTACTATCGCCAAGTTCATTTAAAATGAACTTGACGCAGAACGCGAGCAAGTAGCCTTGATTCACCAACAAGGTTCTCAACAAGCAGAGTTGTTGAGAGAACAGGGTGCTCAACAGTTTGAACTGTTGAGACAGCAGCAGGCTGCTGCTGGTGGGTCGATGCATTCGCGTCGACCCGAGACCTTGAAGATTGACATCTCCAAGACTAGGGGGGTTGAAGAGGACTCCCTCTTGAGATGGTTCGTCGAATCGGATGACGCCATAAGGGCGCGTCGCATCGACGACGGGAAAATGCAAGTTGCATTTGCCCAATCGAATCTGGCAGGACGTGCCAAGACTTGGGCACTGGGGCTCAAGTTGCACGACCCATATGCGTTTGGGTCGTTGGAAGTCTTCAAGTCGCGGCTCAGACAAACGTTTGAACCGCCTTGAGCTGAGTTCAGAGCTCGAACCGAACCCTTGAAGCTCAAACAAAATAAGCGTGATGTGCACGCTTACGCACAACATATACGACATCTCACGAGTTGTATAAGTTCCAACCCGGTTGATGAACACACGTTGGTTTCGGTGTTCGTGCAGGGTCTTGCGGATGGTCCCGTCAAGACTCAAATGTTCCGAATTGAACTGGATTCACTTGAACAAGCCATTTCCTTTGCGGAACAGGAAGGCTTTAGTCTGAGACAGGCTCGCGCCAGCTCGACATTTATCGTTCACCGAGACGAAATGACAGCGGAAGTCCAGAGCCGATGGAACTCTGTTATGTAGAGAGCTTGAAGGCTCGCGCCAGCTCGACATTTTATCGTTCACCGAGACGATATGACAGCGGAAGTCCAGAGCCGATGGAACTCTGTTATGTACAGAGCGAGAAGGCTCGCTCTACAGACTACAAGAAGTTGCAGAAATGCAGCTGATGTCAAAAGACAGGACACTACGCTTACGAGTGTCTCGCAACACTGGGCGTAATGACCGTCCACCCATGAGAAAACGGCAGGGACGCGGGTCCGCTGTTGGTGCAAAGACGCAACAACGGGAAGGACCGTAAAAACGGACAGGATCAGTAGGTGCGGAGCACCCTACTGGTCCAGCAACGTCAAGAGAATTTGTAGGCCTCTTGATGAAGGTTGCTCCCAACGCACAAATATTGTGCGTTGCTGCACCAGGTAATGAGATCTCACTCATTACCTTGAAACTCGAAGTGACAAATAAGTTGTCCCTTCGAGCTCTAGTCGATTGTGGGGCGTCTAACAATTCTGTGCAACGCTAATCGCTAGAAGATGGTCACTTCGAGCTTAGTGAATTTGACACACCTCCTACGAGGATGACGGTACGTCTTGCGACAGGCGCATCCGTAACCGTCATGAAGCGTATAGTGAAGATTCACTACACGCTAGAAGATACCAAATATGACGATGACTTTATCGTATTGGATTTGGATGACAAATTTGATGTCATCCTTGAAATACCGTGGCTTAGAAGGTACGAACCACGGGTAAACTGGCCACATCGAACAGTAACGATGCTTGCCGCTTGTCCATCAGATGGCCATCTGATGAACGTTTTGGAGCGTCCACAAGCGTGTGGATGTACTACGAGTGAGTGCGATGGCCTCACTTGTGGTACGGTCGTTAGTAAGACTGCATAAAACCTTAGTGTAACAAACGGTTACACTTCGGAGCAAAGTTCCGGCGGCTGTGAGGAAACACAGGCTGCGCCGAAGGTCCACCACTCGAATAAGTCGAGTGGACCGGTAAAAAGATGTATGCCTAGCGGGAAACATCTAGAAGAGAAACAATCGATTGCTCAGGTTAAGCGAAACGATAATCCTAGATCGACTGGAGAGTCTTTCGTAGAGGATCTCGCTGTGGTTGCGCAACCCCATTTAGAAGAAGTAAAGAGAATAAGTCCCGATATTAAAGATACGGCGGAAATAAGTTCCCCGAAACCTGAGGGAATAAGTCCCCGGGAAGTCCTTCGAGGCCTGAGGGAAGAAGTCCCCAGGAAATGACAGAGATATTGAATGTCATAGTCAAAAACGGATCAAGTGTAGGCGCTTACACACTTGATCTGATTGCGCCTCCGAAGTTGACTTCGGAGATCACTCAGTTTCCAATGCTCGAACATAAAAGGTTCTTGCGTGATCCGCGTAGTGGCAAAGTCAAGCAGATTTGCTTACTCGTCGCTGACGACGAGTGTGTAGCCGACATAAGGTCAGCAACAATGTTTACTGAGAACGAGAGAGTTCTCAGTAGTTCATCGATGGACGAGAGTGTCCTCGATGAAAAGACACGAGTTGAGCGATATGACTCCCAATCGTGGGAATCGCTCAAGACAAATACTATTTATAAAGATTTGGTTGAATTCAAGGATGTATTTCCTGAAACTGTTCCGTGCGAGTTACCGAAGGATAAAGGTATTCGACACGAGGTCGAGCTTACACCAGGCTCGAAGTACTGTGTCATGAAGCAGTGACCAATGCCTCGTGAGCAAGTACTTGCGATCGACAAGTTCTTTGCCGATCGTTTAGCTGCGGGCCATGTGACGAAATCAACTTCCCCACATAGCTCTACGACCTTCCGTGTGCGAAAAGCAACAGGAGGGTGGCAGATAGTGCATGCATTTGACAAGTTGAATGCTGCAACGGTGCCGGCTCAGACGCCGACACAAGGAAGGACTTAATCATTGATGGTATGTCAAAGAGTACCATATTTTCGTCCATGGATTTGATGGATGGCTTTTATCAAATCCTTATGCGAGAACGGGATGTACCCATACCGCAGTTAGCACGCCTAGCGGTGCTCTGGGAATGGCTAGTAATGCCACAAGGGCTTAGTAATGCCCCTGCCACGTTCAACAGATGTGTATCACATCTGTTGAGACCAGTACGAGAATTCGCGCCGAGTTATTTCGATGACGTATTTATCCATAGTCGATCTATGGATGGAAAGTCGGACGTTGAGGTTCACAGATACCACGTCCGACAGGTTCTTACAATCATGCGAAAGCATCAATTGTATGCAAACCTCAAGAAGTGTATATGTGCAGCAAGCGAAATACCACTTCTTGGGTGCATCGTCGGCAAGAACGGTGTACGTCCTGATCCCGAAAAGATCAAGGCGATCACCGACTGGCCTGTGCCGGTTGATGTCAAAGGTCTTCAAAAATTCCTTGGGCTAGCGGCGCATTTGCATAAGTATTCACGCAATTACGCCGAGATGACTATACACCTCTCTCGTTTGTTGAAAAAGAACGAGAGGTGGTTATGGAACGCTGAATGTCAGCGCTCCTTTGATGGTATCAAGCAGATCTTGATACATTCCCCAGTCCTAGCAATAGCCGATCAGGACAGGCCATTTCATGTGGTCTGTGATGCCAGCGATTTCGCAATCGGCTGTGCATTAATGCAGTACGACCTTGAAGGCGTTGAACGCGTCGTCTGCTATCAGTCGCGTCAGCTGCAACCAGCTGAGCGGAACTATCCAGTGCATGACAAGGAACTCCTTGCCATGAAGTATGCACTCGCGAAGTTCAGAGTCTATCTATTAGGAGATAGACCCTTCATTGTTTACACTGACCATGCGTCGTTACGCACGGCAGTAAACAGCCCGCACCTTTCACAACGAATGGAGCGGTGGTTGTCATTCTTTGCAGAATACAACTTTACGGTAGAGTACAAACCAAAACGACTTAATGTCGTCGCTGATGCACTATCACGTCGGCCCGACTTTGAACCAGTCGTGAAACCAACAGTGAGACAGCCACTGTTGCGGTTATGACGTCCTCAATACCATCTTCAACGTTACGTGATGCTGTGAGGCGGGCGTATGCCCAAAATGGTGAGGTTGTGAAGTTGCTGACACATCTCTCACAACCATCTCGAGAATCGTTGAAACGATTGTCGTCTGCGTATCGATCTGCATCAGATCGATACAATACTCGCAACGGTTTATTGTATTATGCAGCCGTTACTGGTGACACACCACGTGTTGTCATTCCAGATGATACTGATCTGCGTTTGCAGATCATGTTCGAGTATCACGATGCTCCTATAGGAGGACATCTTGTCCGGGAGAAAACATATCTCACGGTGATTCGAGACGTTTACTGGCCCTGCCAGTATCAGTTTGTGTGCACGTATGTTCGCACATGCGAAGGCTGCCAACGAGTGAAGTCTAGTCCTCCACTGCGTGCACCTTCACAGCCTCTACCAGTTCCGGCAGATTGCTATGAATCCGTCTCAATGGTTTCGTCTTCGGGTTACCCAAAGACGCACGCGGGAATGCGGGTATTCTCGTATTTGTTGACAGATTCAGCAAAATGGTACATCTTGTGGCTGTTCCCGAGTCAATCACAGCAAGTGGCTGTGCTTGTGTCTTTATCGAAACATCTTCCGACTTCATGGGTTACCCCGTGAAATCGTATCAGACAGAGATCCACGCTTCACTGCTGATTTCTGGCGTTCCGTGTTCAAATCACTCGGAGCGCGCCAGAAGATGTCGACATCTGATCATCCAGAGTCAGATGGTCAGACGGAACGAGCCAATCGTGTCCTCGAAGAGATACTGTGAGGATACGTACACTCCTTTAAGAGTTGGAGTAAGTTCTTGCCAATGGTAGAGTTCGCCATTAACAACTCGGTGCATGCGTCCACGACACATACACCGTTTTACGTGAATGGCTTACGCTATCCGCGTGTACCCACCTTACTAGAGTGTAACTATGGTTTAAGGGGGAGAGACTCGCGCGATCAAAAACTGATTTAGTTCACGCTCATCACGCTCTGACGAAGAGGTCATTGCGTTTGATGCCGATATCGACAGCATCGATATCGAAGAAGATGATGCCAGTGAGAGCGCGGAAGCCCTCACTGAAGAAAAGATTGATGTTGCTGCAGTGCACTCACAGCGCACTGAAGCTAAAGAGTCAGCAGATGAGTTCATACTAGATCGTGAAACGGTAGTCCGTTTTGTGCAAGACTCCATCGTCGAAGTGGTGGATAAGCAAAAGCAAAACGCAGACAAGAATGGAAGGGCAAATACTCTCTCATATTTTATAAAAGTGACTTAGTCCTACCGTCTACGGTTAATCTACCAAAGCATGTAGTGACTAACTTGGGTAGTAGTAAACTTCTACCCAAGTACATCGGCCCATTTCGTGTATTGCATCGCCTAGGCAATGCATACACGATCGAATTGCCACGTAAGATGCGAACGCATCCCACGTTTTACGTTGGTCGGCTTAAGCCGTACCAACAGTACGCTGTTTCTTCCGATGAAGAACGCCCTTGCGCTCAAGAATCTCACAGAAAGCCTTGTGCTCCCGATGGTGGATATCAGCAAGGGTCTGAAGAGCAGTCATCTCAGCCCGAGACCGGTCAACATCCCCACGAGCTACCCTTAGCTCGGCACGCAGAGACGTCAAAGCTCCCTCGTTCTCAAGCTGAGCAAATGCAAACTCAGCTCGATGCCTCAAGACAGTGTCCGCCAGTTGGAGACGCCTGTCACGCTCATGTTCGAGATCACCGCGTAACGCAAGCGTTACGCGATCAAAGAAGCTCTCGGGGACACACGCTTCCCCACGATAGTTTGGACAGCGTTTTCCCTCCTCCACCACCTCCATTAGAGGGCTCTCGCGGTGGCCAGCGCTATCTGGTTAAGCAGCTGTTGAACCACCGCGATGTGAACGGACGTCGGACAAGTTACCTCGTCCGGGGGCGCGGCTATCCCTCGTCCTGGGATACTTGGGAGCCCCGCTCCCAACTGATGGTTGACGTACTGGGTCTGGTCGAGCAGTACGACGAGGCACAGGATGTCCCGCAGAAGTACCGCTGGAGAAAGTCTTCCCGGCACGGTCGTAAAGGGATTTCAGGTTGTCAATCCCTTCGTACATCTCACTAGTGATACGTACGCGCCACCACGGGCTAGTAAGGAGGTAAGCCTCCTTAGGTGCGCGCACAGAGTTGTTCACACAACTTGGGCACGAGTCTCCCAGGAGATACAGGGTAACCCTCTCTCCTAGACAGACGATGCAGCTTGTAGCGTGCACCTGTCGGGGTTCGCTTTTTAAACTTATCACGAGCTTTGATAAGTTTGTCGTTCCAAGCGTCACGAACTACATCCTTAAGGTTATGGACCTAGGCGTTCTACGCTTGAAGCAGTAAGGGACCATCACGTTTGTGATTCCCACTGTACCATCGATGTTTAAAGAAAGCATCGATAGAGAATTCATGTTCAGCGCGATAGCCTTTCGCACTGGGGTCAAGGTGATGGATCCTTGATGAATCGAACAATCGTCTTCGATAGCGATCACTTGTCGTCGCCGACAAGCAACACACTGCGGTCCCGCTCTTCTTGCGACGTGCTGACAGAAGTACTGGTACCTCGCTGTGATGTGGTGTCCATAGGGGAACCGACACCACTGTGAGCGCCCGAGTCTTGCGACCTCGAGCGCCTTCGCTTTGGAGATGGTTCATCTGATTCATCAGATGAACCAAAGATGCTGCGACGCATAGCATCATCCATGCCACGCTTGGCAGGCGGCTTGGTTATAACCGCCTTCGATACGGATCCGTCTTCCGTATCAGGAGAGTATGAGACACCAAGCTCATACTCTGTGAAGACATGAGTGCTTCATGTCGAGCGCCTGCATCACCAGGTTACACAGGCTGAGTCGCTTCAGCAACCGATGAGACATCAGTTGCTGCAATTTCTGCTTCGGCGTCCGCACAGAGACGTGCAGACGCGCTCTCGGCGGCCTTGCTCGCGCACCGCATGGACTTGTTAACCATGCGATGAACTGTTGGAAAGTGGACTCGGACCAACAAGCGCAAACCCTGTCCCACATGATTTAGCACGAGTATCCATATAGTCAATCAGTCACTAAAGTGCCTGATGGTTAAGGGAGGGGGGGTGATGTAACGGGGTGAACCGTTACATAACAATTTATAGGAAACTGCTAATAGAATATAACTATAAGAGTTATATTCTGAGAATATTGTCATAAGGACAAATATTCTGTAGCACTTACAAGTAGTTCCTAATTGGTTGATATAGGCCATTATATCAACCAACGAAGACACACCACGACAGGCGCACGCAATGAGTGGTGAGCAGATAGTTGATATGCACATTTGTATTTAGACATAGTTAGATGAGGATAGATAGTGATTTATTAACAGACATTAACTATGATAAATACAGTTCTACTTTTTACTTTAACCAAGTACTCGTTTCTCCTTAACGTCTTCCTCTGCACGTACCAGTGTACGTGAAGTTCCGAGGCACCGCCTTATTCTGTCGTCAGAATAAGTAGCTTGTACTGTCATCAGTACAAGCTTCAGGGTGCCCTGTTTCAGATACCCTGTTACGTCACTTCAAGAGATGTCGGCAGACCAAGAGCATCTTTGTGGTGGTATCAAATAGCTGTCAGCAGTCCTCTTTGTAACGTGGAAAGTGCCAGGAAAACTCTGCGTCCAATACGTCTGCTAGACTTACGACCTTCATGCGGTTCCGTCGTCGCTAAACAGTAAGTCGCTGTTCAGACTGAAGCTCGTCGCGAGATAGTTTTCCCGTCATCGCTAGGATGTAAGTCGCTTTTCAGACTGATGCTCATCATTCTACGCTTTATTATATGGTGGGGATCGCGCACAATCTCGTTTGTGATAACATCGACGTGGCTGAGGTCTCGCGCCGGCCTCAAGGCGCATGGACGGTATGAGCTGTGCGGGGCATATCGTCACTGCAATTGGAATTACCCTATTTCGGAATTGTGCAAGAGTGTCCATACTTACTTCAACATTGAGCCCTCGGCCTGCTATTTGCCTCTGCAGATGTACAGATACGTCGCAAGAGCACACTGCATGATTTAAAATGGAAGCGGATTGAGTTCATTAAATGACTGCGAGTCTGAAGGGTGAAGCTATTAGTATCTGTACGTGTGACGGGGTAGCCCGTTACATGATATTGACACCAAACGGTTTTAATAGAAAGATTGTCTAGTGTGACAAATCTCTGCCAATATTATTCGAGATGGATAAAATGGAAGGAATATTATCCCCTTGTAGGATAATATTCACGTGCTGCTCCAAGATTGGTTGATAAAGACATATCAACCATGGTTACCACCAATCGCTGCTAGACGCGCGTAGTAAGTGGTGGGCAGGTTGTCGTCATACGACAATGGAGGTTAAAATAGTTTGACAAAGACTGAAGTCATATTGATAGCTTAACTATTGAGAGTATACGTGAAGTTTGTGGCACCCCAAACAAAGGGTGCCCCATTACACCTGGTAGCACTTTGTAGTCCGTCCAACGACTACTTAGAATCCACCCAAACCTGAAAATGATGGACGTAGAAGACGACAGCTTTCACATCACACGTAAAGGCTACTCTTATTTGAGTGACTTAGAATGGGAGGTAGTCGGCCGCATGAGTGTGCTTACAGGTGAATTCGCCACTAGTAGCATGTTGGAGTTTCTGAACAGAGACCAGGAACAAGTTGCTATCAACAAGTTCCTACAAGGGGAAGTTGCCGTCGAAAGACAGAAGATAGCCTTGCTACAACAACAAAGCTCTCATCATTCGATGGGCAGGCCGACGCACACGCGTCGACCCGAAACCTTATAGATAGATATCTTAAGGCACAAGGGAACCGATGACGATATCCTTTAGAGAGGGATCGTCGAGTTAGACGACACCATCAGGGCCCGTCACATCGAGGGTGACGAGATGCAAGTCACATTTGCCCTGTCAAATTTGACAGGTGGAGCAAGACTTGGGCCTTAGGGTTCAAGCTTGACGACCTGGATGTGTTTGAGTCATTAGAGACCTTGAAGTCTCGGCTTAAAGTGACGTTTGAGCCGCCGAGAGCCGACTTCAGAGCACGTTTTGTCTCAATCTTGGGATTCATTAAAGACAAATCCTTTGCATGAGGATTTGGTCGAACTCAGGGATGTTTTACCAGAATCCGTGCCATGAGAGTTGCCTAACGACAAATGTACTCGGCATGAGATCGAACTGAAACGTGGTTCGAAGTAATGTGTCATGAAGCAGTAGCCACTGCCTCGTGAACAGGTCACAGCGATCAAAAAAATTCGTTGCCGATCGCTTAGCTACTGGTCATGTGAGGGAATCAACATCCCCACACAGTTCTTCGACCTTCTGTGTGCGAGAGGCCACAGGAGAGTGGCGGATGGTGCACGCATTCAACAAACTGAACACTACAACGGTACCGGATCAGACGCCGATTCCGAGGAAGAACGTCATCATTGATGGTATGGCAAAAAGACCATCTCTTCGTCCATGGATTTGATGGTTAGATTCTATCAGATCCTCATGCGTGAACGGGACATCCGCACACAGCAGTGAGCACCCCCAGTGGTATGCTCTGGGAGTGGCTATTGATGACACAGAGGCTAAGTAGCGCCCCCGCAACGTTCAATAGATGTGTTACCAATCTGTTGCGATCGGTGAGGAATTTCGCACCGAGTTAATTTGACGATGTCTTCGTCCATAGCCGGGCTATGGATGGAAAGACGGACGTGGAAATTCATAGAGTCTACGTCCGGAAGGTTCTTACTCTAATGCGAGAGCACAAGTTGCTCGCGAACCTAAAGAAGTGTATACTCACAGCGAGCGAAACACAGCTTCTTGGGTGCATCATGGGTAAAACGGCGTACGCCCTGATCCAGGGAAGATCAAGGCGATTAGCGATTAGCGACTGTCCCGTGCCAGTCGACGTCAAGGGAATTCGAAAGCTCCTTGGCTTAGCGTAGAACTTGCACAAGTACTCGCGCAACTACGCCGAGATGACCGTGCATCTCTTTCGTCTGTTAAAGAGAAACGAGAGATGGTCAGGGAGTGATGGTGTCAGCACACCTTTGAAGGTATCAATAAAATCTTGATACAATCGCCTGTGTTGGCGATTGCAGACCAGGATAGACCATCCATGTGGTCTATGACGACAGCGATTTGCAATCGGCTGCGGGTTAATGCAGTACGGATCAGACTGCGTTCAGCGCGTCGTCTGTTATCAATCGCGTCAGCTGCAAGAAGGTGAGTATAATTACCCAGTGCATGACAAAGTGCATGACAAGGAACGCTTTGCCATGAAATGTGCACTGGCTAAGTTTCGAGTCTACCTCTTAGAGGATAGGCCCTTCATCGTTTATACGGACCATGCGTCGTTGCGCACGGCCGTAAACAGTCCACACCTATTGCAACGAATGGCGAGGTGGCTGTCTTTCTTCGCTGAGTACAACTTCTCCGTCGAGTAAAAACCAGGACAAATTAATGTCGTCGCTGATGATCTTTCGCGTCGGCCTGATTTCGAGCCGACTGCTCAACCCAACAGTAGAGGCGATACCACTGTTGCGACACTATCAGTGAGTGTTCCGTCGTACAATCTTCTCGACGACGTGTGGAAGGCAAACGCAGAAGATAAGTATCTTCTGCGACTGATGGATTACGTATCTAATCGATGCCGTCAAGCTTTTCACAGCTTGACTTCTTAATACCGATCTTAAACCGAACATTATTCGGTTCGTGATGGACTGCTGTACTTTACAGCAGTAAAAGGCCACACAACTCGTGTCGTCGTTCCCGCTCATTATGATTTGCGATTGCGCATCATGTATGAGTATCACGATGCCCCAACAAGTGGGCATCGCGGTACGGAAAAGACTTACCTCACCGTAAGTAGTGACTTTTACTGGTCTCGCCAGTATAAGTTTGTGCGCGAATACATCCGCGCTTGCGAATCTTGCCTATGCCTGAAGTTTAATGCTTTACCCCTTCCTGCCCTTACAGCCTCTACCGATCCCGGCAGAGTGCTAATAGTCCGTATTGATGGACTCCGTCTTCGGATTTTCCAAAAACGCTCACAAGAATAATGGTGTTCCTGTATTTGTTGATCGGTTTAGCAAGATGGCACATCTTGTTGCTGTACCGGAGTCAATCACAGCCCAGGGTTATGCTCGTGTCTTCATCGATACTATCTTCCGACTCACGGGTCACCCCGTGAACTCGTGTCTGATAGGGACCCCCGCTTCACAGCGGAGTTCTGGCAATCCGTGTTCCGTTCACTTGGATCAAGGCTGAACATGTTGACTACTATTCATCCAGAAAGAGATGGTCAGACGAAACGCGTCAACCGCGTCCTCGAAATGATGCTTCGAGGGTACGTTTACTCGTTTACAAGCTGGAGTGAGTTCTTGACGATGGCAGAATTCGCCATCATCGACTCGGTGCACGCGTAGACAGCGCATACCCCGTTCTTCGTGAATCGCCTACTTTATCTACTTTTACCCGCCTTCTTAAAGTGTGACTATAGTTAAAGGGGGAGTGGACTCGCTCGACCAAAAACCGATCTGGTTCTTGCTCATCACCCGTCGACAATGGTGTCGACGTGATGGATACCCATGTCGATGCAATTGGTATCGATGATGATGATGACAACGATGCTGGTATATGCAGCATCGCCATCGACTGCCACAGTGAGGACGATGACACCCTCACTGGTGAAGACAACTTCCTTTCAGCAGTACACACGAATCGCACTGCTGTTGACGAGGATGAATTAGCAGACTCGCAAAGCGGTTGTCCGCTTCGTTCAAGACTCTATTGCAGATGCACTGGACACACAGAAGATAAAATCAGACAAACATGGAGAGAAATGGTTCTTGCATTTGATGGAAGAGAACTAGTTTTACTGTCTACAGTAAACATACCGAAACACGCAGTGACAAACGTGGCCCAGTAAATTACTGCCCAAGTACATCGGTCCATTTCGTGTGCTGCGCCGAATGGGCAACGTATACACGCTTGAGATGCCCCGTAAGATGCGTATGCATCCTACGTTTTACGTTGGTCGTCTCCGCCCGTTCTATCAGTACGATGCCGTTTCGAGATGCGAAGAACACCTTCACGGTCTAGAGCCGAGACCACCTTCGAGTGGTCCCGTTTTAACGAGCCAGTCTGGTCGACTAGTGAAGCCACCTGTTCACCTAGTTGAGCGATGTCCCGACGAGCTGCAGCCAGCTCGTCTCGAAGAGAACGAGTCGAACGTTCGTTCTCGAGTTGCGCGAACACAAAAGCGGCACGATCGTCCGAAGGATCGTGCGTTAGGGAATTGTAATTATCCCTTACAAGGTAATGAAGCTCATAACGCCGAGTCCGCTCATGAGTCAGGTTGTCTTGCAACTGTTCCATCACACGGTTCAGTTCCTGAACATCAAGCTGATCCGACCCTCGAGCCGGATCAGGTGTTCCCGCCACCACCACATCCTTTGGTGGACTCTGGCGGTGGTCAACGCTTTCTGGTGGAGCGTATTTCGAACCGCCGCGAAGTAAAGACTTCCGAACGAGTTACCTCTTCCGCTGGCGTGGCTAACACCGGCCTGGGACAGCTGGGAGCCTCTTGCCCAGCTGATTGTTGAAGTTCAGTGTCTCGTCGAGCAATATGAAAAAACCCACCCACTGCGTTCGAAGAAAGGACATCGGAAAACAAACTCCCCAAGCGCGAGTACAGGGATTGCAAAAATTTAATTTTTATGGGAGCTCAGCAGAGATGCGCGCCCTCCAGTAGAAAACATTAGGGAGGAAGGCCCCCCTATGGGCACGATTTGAGTTGTCCAGGCAACCTGGACACGGGTCACCCCACGAGCGACAGGGTGATCCTGCTTTCTTGACAGTCGGTGCAACTTGTACCGTACACCGACTTGGTTACACTTTTCACACCTGATGCGAGCTGCATCAAGTCTACCGAGCCGGGACTCACGGCCAATGCACTCGATGTTATGAATAAGGGCATTGCAACCTTGCATTAAGGCATTAGCGTCTCGACCACGGTTGCCGATGTACCACTGATTTTATAAAGGAAATCGGTGAAGAACTCTTCCTCAGCACGGATAGTTTCCGTGCTGGAATTAGGAGGACGTATCCTTTTACAGTCGAACAACGGGATTCGATCCCGTTCTGTGGTCATGCCGGCCCATTGATCTAACTACTTAGATGACGGCATTCAAGGAGACTCCAATTACGGAGCGTGGCGCAGGACACTTCGGTCCCTGGCCTCTTGAGTGGTGTCAGCACGAGCACTGACACCAGTGGCAGCTCGATCCTTCGAGTTTCTTTTCCCGTGGCGACGCATAAATGCGTCACCACCATCACTTCGCGTCCTAGTGTCCGTTGGACTTTCTCTAGACGAGAATTCGTCAGAAGAATCGCTCGGTCCGAAGATCTCGAGCATGATGCCGCCACGTTGACCAGAGCCGGTCAACCTGGCTCTCGTAGTGTCCACTTCGGATGTTCCGGATGAGTGAGGTGCCGCCTTAAGTTGAGGGATCATCTGACTCGCCCGAATAAGTGAGATCTATTTCAGGCTCATCCGCATTGCGAGTCGCAGCACCCGCTGCAGACGCAACGGGTGTATCTGTCACACGTGGTGACTTACCACGTGGACTAATCATCAACAGGCACTTCCTGTTGCTGAATCGCAACAGCAGGCGAAGCATCACCTGCTGCTAAAGCAAGAGAAGAACTCTCCTCGGCTGCAAGCATGCGTGCAATCGCCTTCTTGGCATCTTCGGCAGTCCATCGCATGGAATTCGAAACCATGCGACGAATTGGCAAATGAGTTGGAATTTGAGTAACAAGTGCTCCTCTTCCGAGAGTAATCTTACTGTGATCTCCCAGTCCCCAATTAAAGCATTTTAATCACCAGAGTGATTTATAATGAGAGGGGGTGATGTAACGGGGTAGCCCATTACATGATATTGACACCAAACGATGTCAATAGGAAGATTGTCTAGCGTGACAATCTCCTGCCAATATTATTCGAGATGGATAATATTGAAGGAACGTTTCTTCTTTTAGGATAATATTCATGCGCTGCTCAAAGATTGGTTGATAAAAGACATATCAACCAAGGTTACCACCAATCGCTGCTAGACGCGCGTAGTGAGTGGTGAGCAGGTTGTCGACATACGACAATGTAGATTTATATGGTTTGATAAAGACTGAAGTCATATTAATAGCTTAACTATAATAAAATAGTTCTCATTTTACCTATAATTAAACTAGCTGTTTGAGTAGACTAGCATCCTCTGCACGTACGGGTGTACGTGGAGTTTCGTGGCACCTAAGAGTCCCCTTCACACTTGACGCATATTAAATACCGAATTATTGTGAAAACTACTATCAGTGAGTGTGTGTGTAAATGACGCTATATGCAAGGAGGTGCCTCCGTTGCATGATTATTTACAGAAAGGGTTTTAAGTATGAATTGTATTTTAGGACAAACATAACATTCTCATAATATTATTCAAACATAAAATTGATTCGTGGGTGTAATACACTACTTATTGGTTGAGAAAGGACCAAGATATTTCCCAATAAATTCTAGCCATGACAGAAGCACGCAATGAGGGGTGGGCGAATAGTTACAATACATGTTTGTCTTCAGACATAATTAAATGAAGTCAAATAGGAATTTATTAAGAGGATTAGTTATTATAAATACAGTTCTGCTTTTCACCTCTACTGTTTTCGCTTACAATATTTGGCAAACTTTCTCTGCACGTAAGTGTACGTGAAGCAGTCGGACGCACATATTCTTGCAGTGTCAGAGGTTTATTCCTCTAGCTGAATCATGTGTGCATCGATACACTAGATGTACAAACTTAGGTCGTAATAGGTGCGATGTAAAATGCCCCATATTTCGAGAATATATATGCAATATAGGTGTCACTCTTTGATCGGGCCACTAATTGCGGCGGTGGAGAATGTGGGTCGTACATACATCCGACACTGCCCGCACATAATATGATTTAAAATGACTAAGGGCAAACAGAAGCCCTACCAGCAAATGCCTGACACTCCAATGCAGCAAACGTCTCACACCTATGACAAACATTAAACTCGTATTACTTACTTATCAAGTACTCGACAAGCTGTAAGTAAGAATATAATGACCCTTGTGGTAGAGGGGCTTTCTAATGTATTTTTTTTGTAAAACATACACTTGGCTGGCGGTGCAAATGTTAAGGATCATCCTCCGTCTCCCTTTTCTCATATACATCTTCTTGTTACTTTAACAAACGTCAACAATATATTACACACAGAGAATGCATGCATCACATTCATTATTATGATTTGCAATGTACAGTCCATTCTTTAGCCGCCAACCATCCTCTCCTACGTTGATTTAAACCATGATAACAATTAATAAGACCACGATAAGATCAATGTGCATAATGGGTGGCGAGCAGATAGTAACATAAGGGAGAAAACTCTCGAGCTCGACCTTTTAATGCAAGTCATTCAGTCCATAGAGCTAAAATAAGTAATGTGTCTACACGTACCTTGCGCTAAGTCGCTAGTAGCGTTACCGTTCGGGTTCGCAATGATGCTTATTGGCAATAAAGAGGGAACACATAGTATATCACACTTAGTATAACGCTTAGAGTACAACGAGAAATCATTTGTAGACACGTGAGAAGAAGGCGACAGTCTACATTGCACTTAGTATGACGTGTATAAAACAACAAGTAATATTTGTAGACGCATGCGAAGATAAATTAAAATGGCACATTTAGAACACTTGGTGCGATGTGTAGGTACACCTGGTGTAATAATGTTACATGGTAGTTTTTGAACCGGTTATGTTGTGTCAACACCAAGTAAAGATCGGTGGATCTGAGTGATACAGTATTTGTACCATGTACTTGCGGTCATATGACACCTTATCTGTTAAGTATAAGGGATAAGACTTCTATCATAGGATCGCAATGTAGAAGTCCGACAAGGATTTATGGTTTTTAATACGGTAGTTAAAGAATAAACAAAGTATAGTTCTCCTCTTGAAAGAGTGGGCACAAGTGCCTAGTCAAGGCGTTGTGTGCTGTAGAGAGCTTTAGCCTTGTGAAGGCGCTTACTCTTCTTTACTAGTAGTGACTAGTTAGTGTGTGATTCTGTGAATCGTCATCCCTTTGCAACCGATTTTGTTAAGCTTGTACGCCTGAACGACTGTATGTCGTTGTTAGTTGTTATAACTAATAGACTCTTTGAGTCTAAGACTTCCTCTGTTAAAAAGCGCTAAGTAGCTCCGCCACACTCGGTTGCACTTGTAGTCAATCTACACCTGATTCTTCACAGACTAAATCATCTGCGAGAATGGATACGACCATGAATCTTTATCAAGCCCAGCAGATCACGCTTGATAAGCTCAAGGCGTTAATCGGGCACGAGCAAGTGGCTCTTTTAATGGAGAAAGTCCCAAACGCACTTCTTGCACGTCTCGAGGCCTTCTCGATCTTTGAGTCAACGTTAATTGGACAGGTCCATGACCATTTGGCATCTGCCATGTGCACTCGGTATGTTCCAATACTAGACACTGCGTCAGGGACTCGCCTTCTGGTCTTAAGTGTCAAGACTTTTTAGGGGGCAAAGGAAATCTCATTTTGTGGCTTCGAGAGATGGATATTGCCACCAGCTCGGCCTTGCTAAGGTGAGAGAAGAAAAAGGTGGGCTGACCCTATCGAAATAAGGTGGGAGAGCAAGGGAGTGGACCTTCACTTCTGGCACCACGACAGACGAGGCATTTCTCACCTGGGAATATGTTAAGTCAGCAAAAATGTCTGGTGCTTGCCCCGCCTAGTCCGGCATATCTCACCAAATCACGCTTCCTGTCAACCCGCCAGGGTAAAAAGGACTTAGTCGATTATGTCCAGGATTTCTGCCTTGAAACTTGACTTTTTACCTGAGACAGTTTTGATTACCACTCTTATGGAGGGTGTTCGCACTGGCGTTGCCACAACAGAAGTGTTTAGTACACAACCATTTGCATTTGAGGGTGCAGTGGACATAGCGTTGAACGCAGAGTTCAACTTTAAACCTGCCCGTTATTGGACTCATAAATACCAACCGAGCTCGTCTAGCAATTCTTGTCTCATGGTAGGACAGAACCCATGATCTTAATTTTGCTTAGAGAGAGAAGAAGCTTAACTTTACGCTGCCAAACAGCTTTCGAACATCCGTATATGTTTTACGTGCGAGAGCATCAAACATCTTCACCTCGATTATCTGAGAAGGGATAGACAGGCTCATTCGAGCCGACCTCACGTCGCTACCCAACGATTTTAAGGCGTGGGAGAACATCGAGTCTCAGTAGGAGCGAGGCGCTCTAATGGAGGCACTTTAGGCTCTGTTGTACCTCTGGGAGGTGATAAAGAACAGGGCCTAACCCCATGTGGCTTCGTGAGCAATGTCTCGAGGCATGAGTACGAGCCAGGCTTATTACTTGCAAAAGCAACGGTCAAGGGATTTGATAAGCCATGGTCTATGTTGATCGACTATGGGGCGTCAGGAAAATTTTGTCCAATGTTGTTCCCAGTAAATAAGGTAGCGGTATGCTGGCGCTGAAAGCGCGAAATAATGAGACTATCACTGTTTGCTTAGCAACAATTTCATTAGTCGCTGTGCCTAAAGTTTCTGTGAACTTAGGCGTTAAGCTTTAGGACTTTGACAGTATCGACCGCTGTCTAATCCTTGAATTGGATGAGAGGCATGATCTCATCCTTGGTATGGCTTGTCTACAACGCTATTGTCCATGCATTGATTGGAGATCAAAGACCTAAGGCGCAACGCGCACTCTTCGTAATGAAATTTGAGAGCGTCATGAGCCCACCTCGGCTAGGAACCATAAGCGATATTGGCGCGAGCCACAGACTGAGACAGTCAGTGTGCTGGATGTCAGTGTGGATGAACTCATTATGTTGGACTATGTCGTTAGTTGCGAGCCAATATCGCTGACTGTTAGTGAGACGGCATTTACACCGTCAAGTGATAATCGTTGTGATAACAAATCACTGATTGCTGAAAGCTTTGTTGGCCAAGAGGCAATTCATCATGGGTGGAACCCCTTCTATGAGCGTAGAGTGGCACGTAAGTACCCACTGAGTGATGTTGGCCGTGATTGCGACACAGTGAATGTCAGTCAATACATTGTTGTCAGATATGAGGTCCATTTGGTGAGCGTGGAGTTGCACGTAAGTATTTACTGGGTGGGGATATCACTAGAAGTGTTCACTACCAGATGTTGGTAACGACATCGGATCTGATAAGGTAAAATTTAAGGTTAACTTAGTTCGTCACCTTGGAGATAGTGTAGTCCCGGATGTCGGTAATGACATCGGCTCTGATATTGGGAAACTTAAGATTGATGGACATGTTAAACTTGGCGACATCGATGACGGTAGTCGGTGATGACACCGGATCTTGTACAGAGCAAGTTAAGGATGTTCATGAAAAAAATATGAAAACAAGAAAGTTTCAATCTCTTTAAGATATCCAGTCTCGTCGAAGAGATGACTGCGACGCCAGATTGCTTTTATGCAACGCAAGGCGTCTGTTACGTCACTGAGTGATACTAGCGAGAAGCTGAATACACCCGTTGATGGAGTGACTGTTGACGTAGATGGGTCAGTGAGTATTGAGACTCTACCCTCACTATATTCTCCGTTAGTGCCAGACAAAATGTATGTCGATGAGTCTGGTCTGACCTCAAAGTCAGGTGACTTATCTATAGTGGTGGTTATTGGATACGATAGTGAGTTGCACCAATATTTTGTGTCAGAAATTCAAATGGCAAGTGGAGCATTGCGCATCCTTACAATAATCTTATTGCAGCCACTACACCGGAACAGACGCCTTCTCCTAGAAAGGATGCTTTTAAGAACGCTGTGGTAGACTGTCTCATGTTTATTGCACTCGACTTGGTTAATGGGCATCATTACTTTCTCTTGTGGGCGAGTGGTATTCCGCACACAGCGGTTATTACCCAAGCGATAAGCTTTGGGAGTGGCTAGTCATACCACATAGGTTGTCTAATGCCCCGGCTACATTTAATCGTCTCGTGACGCAATTGCATCGACCTCACCGAGAATATGCAAAATTTTACTATCGATGGCATCTTTGTCCATGCTCGTGCTGGACATGGTAGTTCAGATGTGAAACTTCACTTTGAACATTTATGAGTAGTGTTCGAGTGCATGCGTATGAACAAGCTGCATGTAAAGGGATATAAGTGCATTTTCGTAGCAAAAGAATTTACCTTTAAAGGGTTTTTATTGGGAAGTAAAGGCCTTCGTGCGGACCCCGCTAAGGTAAGGGCCACATTTAATTGGCCGGTTCCAAAGAACCAAAAAGATATACGTAAGTGGCTTGGCCTTGCCAATTACTCGCGTAAGTATAGTACAATCATGCATATATGGCTCGGCAGTTAACCCGTTATCTTAAGAATGATGCGGTTATGAGTTGGGGAAACGCCGAACATATTACTTTGAAACAGTTAATAAGAATCCCCTTCATGATATAATTTTGGCTTTTCCTGACCCTGGGCAGCTTTTCATTGTCGTCTGTGACGCGTCTGATTTTACTATTGATTGTGGATTTTTGCAGACAGATTTTGATAGACATGAAGGCGTCACTGCGTATGGGAATCGTCAGCTTAAGGGTTCAAAGAAAAACTTTTCATTTTACGACAAATATTTAATCGCACTGTAGTATGCTCTAGTTTAGTTCAGCGTCCACCTACGTGGCTCCATCCTTTTGTGATCTTCACAGATCATGCGTCGTTACGCGCTGTGACACAGTCGCCTCACATCTCACAGCGTATGGCTCGTTAAATTTCGTTGTTTGCTGAATACAGCCTCGAGGTGAAGTATAAGCCGGGAAAGAAAAGTGCTTTAGCTGATGCGTCGTCACGCAAATCTGATGATGAGCTTGCTCATGTCACGACTCTGTCGTCATCCCATGTGAATTATTTTTTGGGGCATGTGCACGTGATGAGCAATCTGTAGCATTGCCACATGCTCTTGAAAGCAAGGAGGTTCAAGACTCAGACATTAAAATGGCGGCACATTTAAGTGCGAGCTTACATCGATATGTCATCGATCGTGGGTTGCTGTGCTATTACACGGGTGTTGAGTGCCTCGCATCGTCGTTCCTTATGATAAGGACTTAAAGTATCGTATCCTCTTCAAGACACATGACACTGCTTCGAGCGGTCTTTTTGGCTCGAGAAGACCTATAGCTCAGTAAGACAGACGTATTATTGGCCCAAGTTGTACAAATGATTGAGCTCTTTTGTGCGTACGTGTGAAACGTGTCAACGGGTTAAACCCTAAGCACATGCGGTTGTACCTCTCTCTAGTATGCCTGTACCCAATTGTTATTGGGAGTCCGTTAGTATGGACTTTTTGTTCAGCCGACCGAAGGATTCGGACGGCAATACTGGTATAGTGGTCTTTGTTGAACGTTTAAGCAAGATGGCTCATTTTGCAGTTGTGCCTGATTCCGTCGATGTTGTAGGTACAGCGAAGCTGTTTATCGACCGTGTGCTTCGTCAATATGGTTTTCCGGTAGCGATTGTCTCTGATCGTGTTCAACGTCTCACTGGCAAGTTTTGGACTTCCATCTTCAAGGTGCTGGACACCCAATTGGACATGTCCACAGCGGATCATCCGCAGACTGATGGTAGAACCGAGCGTGTCAATCGCTTCGATGGTGACATATTGCGCAGTGTTTGCGCTGATACGTCTAAGAGTTGGAGCTCTATGCTCCCGTTGACCGAGTTTTCCTTAAATAAAGCTGTTCATGCCTTTACGGGATTTACTCTATTCTACGTGAATCGTCTCACTTACCCACGCGTTCCGTTAACGCTACCACTACGAGGGTCTGATATTGGTGGAAGTGATAGCCTATCGGCTTGCTATATTTAGCCCAACTACTGTTCAGAAAGGTGAGCGAGTTTCTTGCTACGCGATTGAATGTCTTTCGACATGTACGTGACGCAATGACTGATAGCCAAGATCAAGAGAAACAACAAACTGATTCTAAAGGCTTAAAGTGTATTGAGAGTTTTAAAGTTAGGGACCTAATCTTACTGAACGCTATGAAATTACCTACTAAGGTAGTTTCAGCGGTCTGTACGACCAAGTTGCGTTCTTGCCTTATTGTGCCGTTTACGGTTGTGGCCAAGAAGGGCCTAGCGTGTACGCTGAGCCTTCCACGCAAGATGCGAACACACCTAGTGTATTACATCAGCTTCTTAAGCCTTATCTTGATCCGTCGCGGGTGGACCACGAGGCACTTGTGTCAAAGGAATTGGTACTGCCACAAGTCTAGGATCTCTTAAGAGAAGATCCAGTTGCCCTTTAAGACGCGCCACGTGGTTACGAAGACCATACACCTCGTGTTCTAACTCGTTGACGACGCGTCGAGATTCTTCGGCCACCTCCTGCTCTCGTTGACGAGCAAGCGGCTCAGCAGTACCATGTGGAAAGAATCCTGCAGCGACGTCGTCGCGACGGTCATTGCTAGTACTTGGTACAGTGGCGGGGATACCCTGAGTCGGAAACTTACGAGAGTGCGAAGTGCCACTGCGGCAGGATTGTCCGTATGCCGTCGACGTTTTTGAACGTCGTCTACAGGGTCAATCGACCTATACTGCTTCCCACTAGTAGGTCGCTGGTGTGCAGGTATGTAGCTGCCGCAGCATAGCGGATGCGATAGAACGATCGCGGTTGGCCTTTGGCCTTTTGTTTTGCGAAATCAAAGCGCAGATTTCGTTCGATCCGAACGTCAGAAAGTGTAGCGCTATCTTTGAGATTCCATAGGCTTGGTAGATGACGAGCTCGGTGAGCCCAACGCGTTCAAACGGCATCGATTTCTACCTCCGTCTTACCAGGCAATATGGCTGACGGGTACTGTCCGCATGGCGGACACTGACGCACCAAGTGCTTGCTGATTCATCCTGTCGAGGTTATCTAGGACGGTCATACGCTCGACCCGCCAATATGTCTCTCTGAGGGCCTCACTCTCCGCTAGTTCTGTGGTGGTGTTAGCCTTGTGTCCCGTGACCCATGTTGCGAGTGACTGCCCGGAAGTCTGGCAAATGCGTTCATACAAACTCGGTTGTGTGAAGCGGTAACTACTGTGGGCATACGCTGTGGCTACACATTGTGCTTGACGCCTGCGGTCATCGACCAACTGAAGATACTGAGCCTGATCTTCATCAAGAGTGTTGTGCAACACACCCGACGCAGGCTCATCAACTACAAGCTGTGCAAGGGGTGAAGGTACCTCCTCCTTCACCCCTTGCACAGCTTGCAGGTGGTGAGCCTGCGTCGGGTGTGTTGCACTCCGTTGTTTCACGGAAAAATTAGGTGCGACGCGCTTGTTGTCACGCGCTGATGGCGTAGCTGGAAGCGGGTCATAGACACTCGACGCGACGGTGTTGATATCGTGGTCCACCATACCCTCTTCGAGGAGCTCCTCAAGGGTATTATACGAAGGTTTGAGTCAGTCATTTTGAGATGTAACGTAAACACAATGGTCAAGGACCAGAGCTTTGATAGAACTAAAGATAAGTACGAGAATAGTCAGTACGAGGGTGTCGACAGTTTGGTGGAGGAGGGTGTACTGGGGTTACATGGCAGTTTTTGAACCGGTTATGTTGTGTCAACACCAAGTAAAGATCGGTGGATCTGAGTGATACAGTATTTGTACCATGTACTTACGGTCATATGACACCTTATCGGTTAAGTATAAGGGATAAGACTTCTATCATAGGATCGCAATGTAGAAGTCCGACAAGGATTTATGGTTTTTAATACGGTAGTTAAAGAATAAACAAAGTATAGTTCTCCTCTTGAAAGAGTGGGCACAAGTGCCTAGTCAAGGCGTTGTGTGCTGTAGAGAGCTTTAGCCTTGTGAAGGCGCTTACTCTTCTTTACTAGTAGTGACTAGTTAGTGTGTGATTCTGTGAATCGTCATCCCTTTGCAACCGATTTTGTTAAGCTTGTACGCCTGAACGACTGTATGTCGTTGTTAGTTGTTATAACTAAGAGACTCTTTGAGTCTAAGACTTCCTCTGTTAAGGAGCGCTAAGTAGCTCCGCTTCATCACTGGTGATGGACTTGGGGAATGGTGTATGCTGCGGTAGATAATTGACCCAGGTGGTGACAGACACTTCTACGGCCTGTGTATGTTGCAAACTGTGTAGAGATATCCCAAGCGAAGACAAGACTTTTGCCGTATTATAGATGACTCAGGTTGCTGGCAAGACGGACATTTGAAGGCATCAGCCCTGATCACATTATTACAACGTACCTCATTTAATAGCACAATCATACGAATCGGTCAATTCACATGCCACAAAAGGTCATCAACTAGCATGAATATGTAGATACAGCACGACGTACCCGTCCTAGGTTCATAAGCTCAACAATTGGCCAACCCAATAGCTGAGTCAGCAGACTGACGATCCACATGTCGTACGTAAACGAGTGGGCGCAATATTAAAACTGGTTTTCATTCACTTGACAGGTATCTCACCTACACTACGCTTACCACCGGGATGCCACTTCACTCAATAAGTAGCTACAATTACGAGAGCTCAGATGCCCAAGACGTTCGGCAGGCCGAGTAGCATACCCTTCACCGACGCGCTCACGTCGATGGCGTTGAAGTTCCAATCCGAGACCACCTTCGGGTTGACCTTGATGTCGTACAAGTTACTTGCTGTTCCAGTGAGACCCGAGACCGTGATACCGGTAATCTGCACCTGACTGGAAGCGTTGTTCGTGTACCCTCCCTTGGCCTTGCTGTAGTCCGAGCGGATGGCAATCGCGTTCTTGACATTCACAACCTTGTTGTTAATGTACTTCACGTCAGTGACCAGACCCTTCAGACCGACGATTGTCTTGATCCGGAGAGCGTTCACACTGTTGACGATCGTGTTGCCCTGAACGGTGAGACCCCTTACCGTTGTCGACTGGTCCACAGCGTTGCCACCAAGAGACCCGATCGAGATGCCGTGTGTGTTGTAGCAGTAGTTGTTGCTGAAGACGGTGTTGACGCTCGACTGCATCGCGAGGCAGTCATCCTGGTTGTAGATCGTGCACCCGGTGATCGTGACGCCGTCGTTCTTGGTCAAGCCGAACCCGTCCGTGTTCTTGGCGATGCCGTTGCCCGCTCTCGAGTCGATGGTGAGACCCGAGAGAATCATGTTCCTACACGTAACGAGGCTGAAGGTGCGGAAGGGCATGTTCTTGATCGTGAACCCGGACACCTTCGAGTTGATGACGTTTTGAAGACGGAAGAAGACGGGACGGGTGATGGCCTGGCCCTGTTTCCAGTACCAAGCTCCTTGGCCGTCCAGGGTGCCGGATCCCTTCACGGTCAGATCCGTTCCACTGACCATCACGAGCGGACCAACCCACTTTTGCGTGCCGAACGTCGTGGTGCCCTTGAATTCAATGACGGCCCCTCGCTTGGTCTTTGTCAGGTCCAACATCACGCCAGCCGGTACACTGAGGGAATCGATGGTGATAGAGCTGCACGACGAGATATCCGTGCCTTTCTTGTACGTGCCCGTGAGGTTGCAGCCATTGACGCTGCTGCTGCTGCTGCTGGAAGGAAGGCTCTGTTGTTGTTCCTGCTGCACCGGGTTCGGTTGTTGTTCCTCCTGCATCGGGTTCTGCTGTCCAGGCTGGCTCTTGTTCTTGTTCTTGCCCTCGGCTACCGTGCGTACATTGGGCGAGCCGTCAGTAGCCGCAGCAATGAGAAGTAGGGCGGTGATTGCAGTAGGTAGGAGTTTCATCGTCGGTGAAGACTGTGGTGAGGTCAGTTCGTTGGTTCGTTGGTTGTGCTTGCTGGAGGACAATTGAAAAGTGAGTTCTCTTCCGTGACGCGACTTGGGCTCGCACGAAGGAGCACAGGCACGATATACCAACAGCAGCTTCGACATCTCGTCCTCTGCGAAGAGAGGTGGTTCAGTGTGACTCCACTCGTCTCGAGCTTCTGCGTTGGTCGAAGGGGTATGTCTGTTGAGGATACGTGCCACGCACATCGTCGGACTGAAGAGGGCGGGCAGGCTGTCTTTCGGAAGACAAGCTGTTGGGCCCCACCCTTACGACAGCAGCAACTGTTTCGGGTTCAAGCATATGGACTTCCCTAAGCTGTGGGCAGCCAAGAGACCTCAACATCATCACTGGGAGCTACTCGTCATATCGCGCAAAGCTGGCCGTTTAGGTGCAGCGACCCTCTTGGAAAAAGGTGGGTGCGTCTGGTTTGTACCTCTGTGTTCCAAGTAGCCGCTCCAAGTGTGTGGAAAGGATTAACACCCAAGAAGGACGGTAACTACACGAGACGGTGACTGCACGAGACGCAACTTTGAGCACCATGGACGTGTCTGTGGTTGCCCTATATTGACCAATTCGTCAGCACATCGTCACCGTCCGATTGCATTGCCCCCTTTAACGTAGCGAAGTACTTTATTTAGCGTTGCAAGAGTGGATGTGTGGATGGATGGAAACGCAGGGTTACCAGCACGTTGTACTACCATGGCAGAAAGCTGCCGGACTGCCGTCTTGTCGGCTTCACAATGTGCGTTCGCCCTCTGCTGCGTTCCGGCTATTGACGCTTACAGCCTGTTTCCACCTGAACACATTGCTCAAACTCATGCTTCCACGCGAATACACGCGCGACTGCACACCATCCTACTCCCTTTTACCGCAAAACATCCCACTACCTTTGACTGCAGAACATCCTTCTGCCTGACTTTGTGTCAGAGCCGCTGTATAATGGTCATAGGCAACGTCTTACTACGGCGTTTGACGCTGTGTAGAAGCCACCGTATGACGACAAGTTTCTCGCTTGCAAGCGAGTTCTGACAGCGTTCGTATTGCTGTCGTTGTCAGATATTCGAGTAGAGGTCCGACGCCGGAGAACACGTGCGAAGGTGAAGAAACACTGACATCCCGTTGCGCTGATTATAAACGACGTACCATGTGGATACGATACCACGACCGATGTCCGCAACTACCCGCCATCGGGTTCTTGGTAACCAGTCGTCGTGTGGTACCCTTTAGTCCACTTTGGTGCAGAGCACGCACGCTACAATGCATAGAGCAGGGGCAAAAAGCGGTTCCATTACATGCGTCAACAAGTCGCTCGACACTGGTGACTCAGTTCTACGCGGCAAATTCGACTGAATGTACACCTCCAGTCGTTTACCTTGTAGCCTTATATATCTCGAAAGCCTGAGGGCGCTCGTGCTTCACTAATTTGCCAAACCGCTTAGAACTGATGGGCTTATGATGCTAAACATCAGATTCAAGCCAGCCCTCTAAGTTGTGGGGCGAAGGTAGCCCCCTCCGAGTGTCTTGCATCGGTTTAGGCGACAGGCCGACCAGAGACACGTTGCACGTATGTGGTTTGCTCACAAACTATTGCAAACCAACACCACGTGCGGGCGTAAGGGTTATCAGAGCCTATGGCCGGCGAAAGGTGACAGCTAGAGTGGCGTGACCCTTGCAGATCATGGAATAGGCTGTCTGCAGTGCCCGGCGTCAAGAAGTGCTTTAGTGAGCGGTAGTTCATCAAATTCTCGAGTGATTTGCACTGGTACGACTAAAGCAGCGGTAAATGGCGATGCTGCAGAAGAGCCGGCCAGCAGGTTATCGAGAACCAGACGGAACCTTCTATTATTTGGCACTTACAAATTTAAAGGGATTTGTTTCCAAATAGATGACACCTGCAAAAGACAAGCCTGAAGAGGGAAGAAAGTCGATACGACCCTAGTTTGCAGCTCGCTTTTACCGGTATGGGAAATTAGATAAGGAAACGCAATCGATCAGAATCAGGCTCGAAAAGTTCAGCTCCAGTCCTCGATTGCTTGACAATAGTGTGCTGTGTGAACTCTCATCTCATTGTTCGTCAATCACAATAAAACCGTGGCCATGTCTAGAAAAAGAGATGCGCATATCTACGATCATAGAAAACCAATCGTTGCCACCATGGCAACAGAACACTTGGTCACCGACTCGTGGACGCTTTTATATAAATCATAGATTTGTTTGAGCCGCCTTTAATCAGGTCGTTTCCAGTGTCTCATTTGCGTTACTCATGGTATATGGAGCCACGAATAAGCAAGCGCAAGTGGGTATGCCCTGTGCTACTAGATGGAGACGTACAGTAAATGTGGTCAAGAGACCATTTATAACGTAACTCTGCAGGTGTTGCATCCGAGAACCTGGCAACTCGTGGTGCTCCTGTTTTCAACGAAAGTGTCAGAGATGCTCAGGAATTTTTAATTGCCCAGGAAGTTTTCTGTTCGAAATCCACAGATATGTATAGATATGCATATATACATGTATGTACATATAAACATATTAGGGTCCAATCGAAACCACTTATTCAAGGTGCTGATCTCCAAATAAAAAAATAATGTCATGATACCGGACCTATCGGATCGATACTTTGCAGAATTTACATCACGAACATGCATGAACCATTCATTAAACTTAACTGTAGCCGTGGTGAGTCCTGACAGTGCATACTTTTATACTCAATCCTTCTCCAATCAAGCACTTTGCAGAAGGGCTCCTGAATACTTTAAGATCTCCTTTCGAAGGACAATTCTTACACGAAAGATAGCTAGGGATCTTAGCTTCTGATGATTTCTTCCACATTTGGCTTGTGCTCGCCAAACAAGCAGAATAAATCGGATGCGCACTCAACGGTCGGCATAGTCCGAGACTTAAACTTAACTAAAGCTGAATTATATCGTTTCTTGTGGCTCCAGACAATGCAGTATTATGTCTGACTAATTCACAGCCGATCTTAGCAAATAGTAGTGGGTCTCAAGGCGATAAAAATTACAAGCAGCTAGTTTTTAATAAAGCGACGGACCCTTACATGCATTCAAAAAATTAAATTCTATCTACATATATTACCTAATCCGTAATTTAATACAACCACCAAATTTTGCTAGATACTATAAAAGGTGTTCTATATATTTTAATGCAATGAGTGCATAGAGACAGGTGCCCCCTGTCAGTTGTACTTGCACTATCTAGTCTCAAATCTATAATCATCCGTCAAAAAGCCAAATGGGCAGGCAGTACAGATACGATTGCGGGCCAAACCTACGTCTATGTATTTTTATTTGCTTGAACTTTGAGATGCAATGCGGAGTCTTGATCTATGCGGCATATGGATTGAGACTGAACGTGCAATGGAACGTTTTTACCTTTGCCCATTACAATGGACCCAACAACTTCTAAAGAGCTAGCAAAACTAAGTGCAGCTCCTTTTCTGGACATGGCCATGGTGCTGGTGTAATTGTTGAACAGTGAGATGAGAGTTTATGCAGCTCACTGTCGTCGAGCAATCGAGGCTGGGCTAGACTTTTCGGACCTGCTTTCGACCGACTACATTCCTTTGTCTCACTTCCCATAACGGTAAAAGCGAGCTGCAAACTAGGGTCGTATCGACTTTCTTCCCTCTTCAGGCTTGTCTTTTGCAGGTGTCATCTATTTGGAAACAAATCCCTTTAAATTTGTAAGTGCCAAATAATAGAAGGTTCCGTCTGGTTCTCGATAACCTGCTGGCCGGCTCTTCTGCAGCATCGCCATTTACCGCTGCTTTAGTCGTACCAGTGCAAATCACTCGAGAATTTGATGAACTACCGCTCACTAAAGCACTTCTTGACGCCGGGCACTGCAGACAGCCTATTCCATGATCTGCAAGGGTCACGCCACTCTAGCTGTCACCTTTCGCCGGCCATAGGCTCTGATAACCCTTACGCCCGCACGTGGTGTTGGTTTGCAATAGTTTGTGAGCAAACCACATACGTGCAACGTGTCTCTGGTCGGCCTGTCGCCTAAACCGATGCAAGACACTCGGAGGGGGCTACCTTCGCCCCACAACTTAGAGGGCTGGCTTGAATCTGATGTTTAGCATCATAAGCCCATCAGTTCTAAGCGGTTTGGCAAATTAGTGAAGCACGAGCGCCCTCAGGCTTTCGAGATATATAAGGCTACAAGGTAAACGACTGGAGGTGTACATTCAGTCGAATTTGCCGCGTAGAACTGAGTCACCAGTGTCGAGCGACTTGTTGACGCATGTAATGGAACCGCTTTTTGCCCCTGCTCTATGCATTGTAGCGTGCGTGCTCTGCACCAAAGTGGACTAAAGGGTACCACACGACGACTGGTTACCAAGAACCCGATGGCGGGTAGTTGCGGACATCGGTCGTGGTATCGTATCCACATGGTACGTCGTTTATAATCAGCGCAACGGGATGTCAGTGTTTCTTCACCTTCGCACGTGTTCTCCGGCGTCGGACCTCTACTCGAATATCTGACAACGACAGCAATACGAACGCTGTCAGAACTCGCTTGCAAGCGAGAAACTTGTCGTCATACGGTGGCTTCTACACAGCGTCAAACGCCGTAGTAAGACGTTGCCTATGACCATTATACAGCGGCTCTGACACAAAGTCAGGCAGAAGGATGTTCTGCAGTCAAAGGTAGTGGGATGTTTTGCGGTAAAAGGGAGTAGGATGGTGTGCAGTCGCGCGTGTATTCGCGTGGAAGCTGAGTTTGAGCAATGTGTTCAGGTGGAAACAGGCTGTAAGCGTCAATAGCCGGAACGCAGCAGAGGGCGAACGCACATTGTGAAGCCGACAAGACGGCAGTCCGGCAGCTTTCTGCCATGGTAGTACAACGTGCTGGTAACCCTGCGTTTCCATCCATCCACACATCCACTCTTGCAACGCTAAATAAAGTACTTCGCTACGTTAAAGGGGGCAATGCAATCGGACGGTGACGATGTGCTGACGAATTGGTCAATATAGGGCAACCACAGACACGTCCATGGTGCTCAAAGTTGCGTCTCGTGCAGTCACCGTCTCGTGTAGTTACCGTCCTTCTTGGGTGTTAATCCTTTCCACACACTTGGAGCGGCTACTTGGAACACAGAGGTACAAACCAGACGCACCCACCTTTTTCCAAGAGGGTCGCTGCACCTAAACGGCCAGCTTTGCGCGATATGACGAGTAGCTCCCAGTGATGATGTTGAGGTCTCTTGGCTGCCCACAGCTTAGGGAAGTCCATATGCTTGAACCCGAAACAGTTGCTGCTGTCGTAAGGGTGGGGCCCAACAGCTTGTCTTCCGAAAGACAGCCTGCCCGCCCTCTTCAGTCCGACGATGTGCGTGGCACGTATCCTCAACAGACATACCCCTTCGACCAACGCAGAAGCTCGAGACGAGTGGAGTCACACTGAACCACCTCTCTTCGCAGAGGACGAGATGTCGAAGCTGATGTTGGTATATCGTGCCTGTGCTCCTTCGTGCGAGCCCAAGTCGCGTCACGGAAGAGAACTCACTTTTCAATTGTCATCAGGCAAGCGCAACCAACTAACCAACTAGCTGATCTCACTACAGCCTTCACCGACGATGAAACTCCTACCTACTGCAATCACCGCCCTGCTTCTCATTGCTGCTGCGACCGATGGCTCGCCTAATGTACGCACAATAGCCGAGGGCAAGAACAAAAACAAGAGCCAGCCTGGACAGCAGAACCCGATGCAGGAGGAACAACAGAACCCGGTGCAGCAGGAACAACAGAACCCGGTGCAGCAGGAACAACAGCAGAGCCGCCCTTTCAGCAGCAGCACCAATGGCTGCAACCTCACGGGCACGTACAAGAAAGGCACGGATATCTCATCGTGCAGCTCCATCACCATCGATTCCCTCAGTGTACCGGCTGGCGTGATGTTGGACCTGACAAAGACCAAGCGAGGGGCCGTCATTGAATTCAAGGGCACCACGACGTTCGGCACGCAAAAGTGGGTTGGTCCGCTCGTGATGGTCAGTGGAACGGATCTGACCGTGAAGGGATCCGGCACCCTGGACGGCCAAGGAGCTTGGTACTGGAAACAGGGCCAGGCCATCACCCGTCCCGTCTTCTTCCGTCTTCAAAACGTCATCAACTCGAAGGTGTCCGGGTTCACGATCAAGAACATGCCCTTCCGCACCTTCAGCCTCGTTACGTGTAGGAACATGATTCTCTCGGGTCTCACCATCGACTCGAGAGCGGGCAACGGCATCGCCAAGAACACGGACGGGTTCGGCTTGACCAAGAACGACGGCGTCACGATCACCGGGTGCACGATCTACAACCAGGATGACTGTCTCGCGATGCAGTCGAGCGTCAACACCGTCTTCAGCAACAACTACTGCTACAACACACACGGCATCTCGATCGGGTCTCTTGGTGGCAACGCTGTGGACCAGTCGACAACGGTAAGGGGTCTCACCGTTCAGGGCAACACGATCGTCAACAGTGTGAACGCTCTCCGGATCAAGACAATCGTCGGTCTGAAGGGTCTGGTCACTGACGTGAAGTACATTAACAACAAGGTTGTGAATGTCAAGAACGCGATTGCCATCCGCTCGGACTACAGCAAGGCCAAGGGAGGGTACACGAACAACGCTTCCAGTCAGGTGCAGATTACCGGTATCACGGTCTCGGGTCTCACTGGAACAGCAAGTAACTTGTACGACATCAAGGTCAACCCGAAGGTGGTCTCGAATTGGAACTTCAACGCCATCGACGTGAGCGCGTCGGTGAAGGGTATGCTACTCGGCCTGCCGAACGTCTTGGGCATCTGAGCTCTCGTAATTGTAGCTACTTATTGAGTGAAGTGGCATCCCGGTGGTAAGCGTAGTGTAGGTGAGATACCTGTCAAGTGAATGAAAACCAGTTTCAATGTTGCGCCTGCTCGTTTACGTACAATGTAACGCGGTAATCCGTTACACGATATTGACACAATAGTGTCAATAGGGAAATTGTCTAGCGTGACAATCTCCTGCCAATATTATTCGAGATGGATAATATTGAAGGAACATTCTCTCCTTTTAGGATAATATTCATGCGCTGCTCGAAGATTGGTTGATAACAGACAAATCAACCAAGGTTACCACCAATCGCTGCTAGACGCGCGTAGTGAGTGATGGGCAGGTCGTCGTCATGCGACAATGTAGGTTAATATAGCTCGACAAAGACTGAAGTTATGTTGATAGCCCAACTATATTAAACACAGTTCTCTACATACCCTTTACTCAGACTAGCTGTTTGAGTAGACTAGTTTCGTCTGCACGTAAGAGTGTACGTGAGGTTTCGTGGCACCCCAAACAAGGATGCCCCATTACACCTGGTAGCACTTTGTAGTCCGTATAACGACTACTGAGCGTCCGTCCAACATGGAAATGCTGGACGTAGAAGACGACAGCTTTCACGTCACACGTGAAGGCTACTCTCATCTGAGTGACTCAGAATGGGAGGTAGTCGGCCGCATGAGTGTTTTCATGGGCGAAACCGCCATCAGTGGCGTGTTGGAGTCTCTAAGCAGAGAACAGCAACATTACGCTATCAACAAGTTCCTACAAGGGGAACTTGCCGTCGAAAGACAGAAGATAGCCTTGCTACAACTGCAAAGCTCTCATCAGTCGATGGGCGGGCCGACGCACACGCGCGAGCTGAAGCCTTTAGGATACATATCTCAAGTTACAAGGGAGCAGATGAAGATTTCCTGTTAAATATGGTTCGTCGAGTTGGACGACGCCATCAGGGCCCGTCACATCGAGGGTGACGAGATGCAAGTCACCTCCGCCCTGTCAAATTTGACAGATCGAGCAAGACTTGGGCATTAGGGTTCACGCTTCACAACCCGGATCTGTTTGAGTCATTAGAGACCTTGAAGTCTCGGTTCGGATAAACGTTTGAGCCGTCACGAGCCGAGTCCAGAGCACGCTCTGCACTCCTGAGGCTCAAGAAAGGTAAGCGTGGTTTGCATGCGTATGCATATTACCTACGCTTCCTTTCAAGTAGCGTCAGGGAATATCCTGTTGATGATCACACACTCATAAACGTGTTCATCTACGGCCTTGCAGATGGACCGGTTAAGACCGACATGTTTCAAGAGGACTTCCATACGCTGGAAAAGGCGATAGCGTATGCGGAACAAGAAGACTTCAGCCTAAGACAGTCTCGTTTTAACTTGTCAAACTATCGTCCGACGAGACGAAAGGAAACTGGAGGTCCCGAACCAATGGAACTCTATAACATCGATAGCGAGAACGCTCGCTCTCTGAGTCACAAGCGATCGTCAAGATGCCATCGATGTCAAAACATCGGACACTACGCTCATGAGTGTAGTGTCCCGAGCCCCGCATCAAGTCCAAAGACAGGAAGTGATGATCACCGTGGGCCGGGGAAAGGTCCAAGGCGCGAGTTCAATCCAGCAACGTCAAGAGAAATTGCAGGAATCTTGACGAAGATTGCTCCAAACACACAGTCGCTGTGTGTTACTGCCCCTAGTGATGAAGTGTCACTCATCACTTTGAAGATCGAAGTGACAAGTGAAATGTAAATTCGCGCCCTAGTTGAATGTGGGGCGTCAAACATTTTATTCGACGCCAGTCGCTAGGGGATAGTAAACTCAAATATGTTGAGCGAGAGATTCCTCCAACGAGGATGACGGTGCGCCTTGCTACAGGCGCATCCGTAACAGTGAACAGACGTGTAGTTGGAATCCACTACACGCTAGAAGGAAACCAATACGATCATGACTTCATCGTACTGAATTTGGATGACAAATTTGATGTCATCCGCGATTTGTCATGGCTCAGAATAACGAGCCATGGATCAGCTGGCAGCATCGATCCGTGAAGATGCCTGCCGTTTGTTCATCGGATGGCCATCTGATGAACGCCTTGGAGCGTCCACGAGCGTGTGGATGTACTACAAGTGAGTGCGATGGCCTCACTTGTGGTACGGTCGTATGTACGATTGCACAAGATCACAGTGTAGAAGGCCACTAAACTGTGGAACCAGCTTACGGCACCTGAGTAGAGACACAGGATGCGCCTAAGGTGCACCACTCGAATAGATCGAGTGGACTGGAACACCGATGCACGCCAAGAAGGGTGCATCCAACAAAAGAAATCAGTGTTGTTCAGGATAAACAACACATTGCAGCAAGATCGACTATCAGAGAGTTGATCGTGAAGCAAGCACAAATTAAAGAAAGTCGATCGAAGAGGACGTGACTGTAGTAGTGCTCCCAAAGTCAGTACACGTATTGAAAAAATTCCCAGCGTTTCTGAGAGTGATGGCTTCCGAGAGAGAGATGTTGAGGATGTGGATCCCCAACCACTTGCGGATGTGTTTTCCCAGGAAATCACCGAGTCAGTTAATGTCTTGGTGAATGACGGATCAAGTGTAGGCGCTTATACACTTGAGCTGGTTACACCTCCGAAGTCAGCTTCGGAGGTAATCAAGTTGCCAACGCTAAAATCTGTAAAAAATATAGCGAGATCTTCGTAGTGACAAAGATTGAGCAGATCTGCGTACTCGTCACAGAGGACGAGTATGTCGCCGATATTCGGTCGGCACAAGTGTTTAATGAGAACGAACGGGTTCTTAGTAGCTCATCGATGGACGAAAGTGTCCTCGATGAGGCGACTCGGATTGAGCGATAGACGTCTCAATCTTGGGAGTCTTTGAAGACAAATCCTTTGTATGAGGTTTTAAACTTAATCCAGGGATGTTTTCCCGGAATCCGTGCTATGCGAGATGCCTAAAGACAAAGGCACTCGACATGAAATCGAACTGAAAACCGGTTCAAAGTACTGTGTCATGAAGCAGCAGCCACTGCCTCGTGAACAGGTCACAGCGATCTAAAAATTCTTTGCCGATCTTTAGCGGCTGGTCATGTGAGGGAATCAACTTCCCCACACATCTCTCTGACATTCTGTGTGCGAAAGGCCACAGGAGGGTGGCGGATAGTGCCCGCAGTCAACAAATTGAACACTGAAACGGCACCGGCTCAAACGCCGATACCGAGGAAGGACGTCATCAAAGATGGTATGGCAAAAAGTACCATCTTTTCGTCCAAAGACCTGATGGATGGATTCCATAAGATCCTCATGCGTGAACGGGACATCCCGTACACAGCAGTGAGCACTCCCAGTGGTATGCTCTGGGAGTGACTAGTGATGCCACAGGGGCTAAGTAATGCCCTGCAACGTCTAACAGATATGTTCCGAATCTGTTGCGATCGGTGAGATACTTCGCACCGAGTTACTTAGACGATGTATTCGTCCATAGCCGGGTTATGGATGGAAAGACAGAAGTGGAGGTTCACAGAATACACGTTCGAAAGGTTCTTACACTTGTGCGAGAGCATAAGTTGATCGAGAACATCAAGGAGTGTCTTATTGCAGTGAACGAAATATCACTTCTAGGCCGAATTGTGGGTAAAAACGGTGTACGTCCTGATCCGGAAAAGACCAAGGCGATTAGCGATTAGCGACTGTCCCGTGCCAGTCGACGTCAAGGGACTTCGAAAGCTCCTTGGCTTAGCGGCGTACTTGCCCAAGTACTCGCGCAACTACGCCGAGGTGACCGTACATCTCTCTCGTTTGCTAGCAAAAACGAGAGGTGATCATAGAGTGATGATCGTCAGCACTCCTTCGAATGTATCAAGAAAAGCTTGATACAATTGCACGTGTTGGCGATTGCAGACCAAGACAGACCATTCCACGTGGTCTGTGACGCCAGCAATCTTGAAATCGGCTGCGTGTTAATGCAGTACGGATCAGACTGCGTTCAGCGCGTCGTCTGTTATCAATCGCGTCAGCTGCAAGAAGGTGAGTATAATTACCCAGTGCATGACAAAGTGCATGACAAGGAACGCTTTGCCATGAAATGTGCACTGGCTAAGTTTCGAGTCTACCTCTTAGAGGATAGGCCCTTCGTCGTTCATACTGACCATGCGTCGTCGCGCACGGCCGTAAACTGTCCACACCTCTCGCAGCGAATGGCGAGGTGACTGTCTTTCTTCGCGGAGTACAATTTCTCCGTCGAGTATAAACCAGGACAACTTAATGTCGTCAATGAGGCTCTTTCGCGTCGGCCTGATTTCGAGCCGACTGCATAACCCAACAGTAGAGGTGATACCACTGTTGCGACACTATCAGTGAGTGTTCCGTCGTACAATCTTCTCGACGACGTGTGGAAGGCAAACGCAGAAGATAAGTATCTTCTGCGACTGATGGATTACGTATCTAATCGATGCCGTCAAGCTTTTCACAGCTTGACTTCTTAATGCCGCTCTTAAACCGAACATTATTCGGTTCGTGATGGACTGCTGTACTTTACAGCAGTAAAAGGCCACACAACTCGTGTCGTCGTTCCCGCTCATTATGATTTGCGATTGCGCATCATGTATGAGTATCACGATGCCCCAACAAGTGGGCATCGCGGTACGGAAAAGACTTACCTCGAATCTTGCTTATGCCTGAAGTTTAATGCTTTACCCCTTCCTGCCCTTACAGCCTCTACCGATCCCGGCAGAGTGCTGGTAGTCCGTATTGATGGACTCCGTCTTCGGATTTTCCAAAAACGCTCACAAGAATAATGGTGTTCCTGTATTTGTTGATCGGTTTAGCAAGATGGCACATCTTGTTGCTGTACCGGAGTCAATCACAGCCCAGGGCTATGCTCGTGTCTTCATCGATACTATCTTCCGACTCACGGGTCACCCCGTGAACTCGTGTCTGATAGGGACCCCCGCTTCACAGCGGAGTTCTGGCAATCCGTGTTCCGTTCACTTGGATCAAGGCTGAACATGTTGACCACTATTCATCCAGAAAGAGATGGTCAGACGAAACGCGTCAACCGCGTCCTCGAAATGATGCTTCGAGGGTACGTTTACTCGTTTACAAGCTGGAGTGAGTTCTTGACGATGGCAGAATTCGCCATCATCGACTCGGTGCACGCGTAGACAGCGCATACCCCGTTCTTCGTGAATCGCCTACTTTATCTACTTTTACCCGCCTTCTTAAAGTGTGACTATAGTTAAAGGGGGAGTGGACTCGCTCGACCAAAAACCGATCTGGTTCTTGCTCATCACCCGTCGACAATGGTGTCGACGTGATTGATACCCATGTCGATGCAATTGGTATCGATGATGATGATGACAACGATGCTGGTATATGCAGCATCGCCATCGACTGCCACAGTGAGGACGATGACACCCTCACTGGTGAAGACAACTTCCTTTCAGCAGTACACACGAATCGCACTGCTGTTGACGAGGATGAATCAGCAGAGCGATTTATGCTGACTCGCGAAGCGGTTGGCCCCTTCGTTGGATACTTTATTGCAGATGCAATAGACAAGCAGAAAAGAAACGCGGACAAACGTGGAAGAGCGAATGTTCTTTCATTTAATGAAGAAGACCTAGTTTTACCGTCCACAGTTAATCTACCGAAACACGCAGTGACAAACGTGGGCAGGAATAAATTACTGCCCAATCATACCGGTCCATTTTGCGTGTCGCGCCGTACGAGCAACGCATACACGATTGAACTGCCCCGTAAGATGCGTACGCATCCTACGGTTTACGTTGGACATCTCCGCCCATACTATCAGTACGAGCCCGTTTCGAGACGCGAAGAACACTTCCGCGGTCGAGAGCCGAGACCACCTTCGAGTGGTCCCGTTTCAGCGAGCCAGTCTGGCTGACTAGCGAAGCGACCTTCTCACGCAGTTCAGCGATGTCTCGACGAGCTAAAGCCATCTCATCACGAAGAGAACGAGTCGAACGTTCGTTCTCAAGTTGCGCGAATGCAAAAGCGGCACGATCGTCCGAACGATCGTGCGTTAGGGAATTGTAATTATCCCTCACAAGATCCTCAAGCCCATAACGCCGAGTCCGTTCGCGAGCCAGGTCATCTTGCAACTGTTCCATCAAACGGTTCAGCTCCTGAACATCAAGCTGATCCGACCCTCGAGCCGGATCAGGTGTTCCCGCCGCCACCACATCCTTTCGTGGACTCAAGCGGTGGTCAAAGCTTTGTGGTGGAGCGTATTTTGAGCCACCGCGACGTGAATGGCGTCCGGACGAGTTACCTCGTCCGCTGGCGTGGCTATCCACCGGCGTGGGACAGCTGGGAGCCTCGTACCCATCTGATTGTTGATGTCCTGGGTCTCGTCGAGCAGTATAACGAGACCCACCCGCTACGTTCGTAAAGGACCGTCGGAAAACGACCTCCCTGAACGTGAGTACAAGGATTGCAAAGTTTCAATCCCTTCGGCCATCTCAGAAGAGATGCGCGCCCCCCCAGTAGGGAACATTAGGGAGGAAGGCCTCCCAAGTGACACGGTTCGAGTTGTCCATGCAACCAGGACATTAGTCGCCCCACGAGAGACAAGGTAATCTTGACTCTCTTGGCAGTCGGTGCAACTTGTACCGTACATCGACTGGGTTACGCTTCTAAACCTGACGTGAGCTGCATCAAGTTTACCGAGCCCAGCTTCATAGCCGATGCACTCGATGTTATGAATAAGGGCATTCCAACCTTGCACCAAGGCCTTAACGTCTCGACCACGGTTGCCGTTGTATCACCGATGCTTGAAGAACACATCGGTGAAGAACTCTTCCTCAGCACGGATAGTTTCCGTGCTGAAATTAGGAGGGCAGATCCTCCCATATTCGAACAACGGGATTCGATCCCGTTCAGTGGTCATGCCGGCCCCATCAATCTAACTCTTTGGATGACGGCATCCAAGGAGACTCCACTTGAGGAGCGTGGAGCAGGACAATTCGGTCCCTGGCCTCTTGAGTGTTGTCAGCAAGAGCCTGACACCAGTGGCAGCTCGATCTCTCGAGTTTCTTCTCTCGTGGTGGTGCATAGGGGCATCACCACCATCACCATGCGTCTTATCGTGGGGTGGAATTGAGTGAGGCGAGGATTCGTCAGAAAAATTGCTTGGTCCGAAGGTCTCGGACATGATGCCGCCACGCTGACCTGAGCCGGTCAACCTGGCTCTTGTAGTGTCCACCCCGGATGTCCCGGATGCGTGAGGTGTCGCCTTCGATTCGGATGCATCATCCGACTCGCCCGAATAGATGAGCTCTATTTCAGGCTCATCTACATTGCGAGTCGCGGCACCCGCTGCAGATGTATCTGTCGCACATGAAAACTCAACACGTGAACTAGTCACAACAGGCACTGCCTGTTGCTGATTTGCAACAGCAGGCGAAGGATCACCTACTGCTGAAGCAACATCAGAACTCATCGGCTGCACGCATGCGTGCAACCTCCTTTTTTGCTGCTTTTCCGCAGCACATCGCATAAACTTGATCACCATGCGATATATTGGCAAATGAGTTGGAATTTGACCAACAAGTGATCCCCTTCCCAGAGTGATCCAACCGTGGTCAACCAGTCCCAATCAGTTATATTCAATCACCGGGGTGATTAATAATCAAGGGGGAAATGTAACGGGGTAGCCCGTTACATGATTTTGACACCACCCAATGTCAATAGGGAGATTGTTTAGCGTGAAAATCTCCTGCCAATATTATTCGAGATGGATAATATTGAAGGAATATTATCCCCTTGTAGGATAATATCCATGCGCTGCTCAAAGATTGGTTGATAACAGACAAATCAACCAAGGTTACCACCAATCGCTGCTAGACGCGCGTAGTGAGTGATGGGCAGGTTGTCGTCATGCGACAATGTAGGTTAGTATAGTTCGATAAAGACTGAAGTTATATCGATTACTTGACTATCTCAAAAACAGTTCTAATCTTACCTTTTACCCAGACTAGCTGTTTGAGTAGATTAGCTTCCTCTGCACGTAAGAGTGTGCGTGAAGTTTCGCGGCACCCCAAACGAAGGGTGCCTCGTTACAACTTATATCAAAGGGCGATCTCCAGAGCTTGCTCCCCCATCTTATGATCATATCTTCTATTTTGGTGGCAGACAAAGCTTCTCACCTTAATTTTGTGGTTCTAAATCAATCGATTTTGTGTCGTCGACCCCACTTTGCTGTTTACGGCGTTACGAAGCCTATTTGTCCTCTAATACCCTTTCTCCACATTTTCGCCTTCAAAATATCGACAAACATGAACGAGTAGCTTTGATGTACACAATCTGCCAGCACTTCCAGTAATTAACACACGCAGCAAACCCATTCGTGACGACACCATTCACCTAAAACTGGGTACGTGAGTATACAGAACTTGATCTAGTACTCTGAACTGCATTACTAGCATTGAATGGCGAGATTCAGAGCTCAGCAAACGAGGTATGGCAGCACGACCTCTTTTTTAATCAGTTTCATGACATGGGCTGGCGACCTAACGTTCGTCGCGCGGATGTCAGTGCACGTAGTCTGTGATCTATCGCATGTTATGTACACCAAGAATGCACCTCTCTGCACGAAGCAATACATCAATCGCATCAATTGCTATACGTGTACAGTATTGCTGTACCTGGAACAAACCCCCTTTCATTGCAGGTAGACACTGAATAGAACTTCATGAGCTTATCTTTGACGACGCTACTAATGGTACACTCGGCTTATCGCCGACACCGCATTGAATCGAATAAGGAATTCGCACACGGGACGACAAGTGTTGCAATAGTAGCCACTCTAGTATCTACTGACATCATCGTTGAAGCCTCTAACTTCACTCGATATACAATCACGATCTTGTGTCTGCGTATACGACTCCGATGGATGGCCTTTCCTACAAGTGGTGATCCACCTTGAACCTCAACGCGACGTTGACACTATTACCTCAGGAGTCAGGAAGAGTATAAGTACAAGCGTAAGATCCGTGCTTCTTATCTATTGTGTGTTCTCATGCATCTGTCACTGGTCCCATTCAATCGTTTGTTTCATTCTGACAGTTCCCGCCACTTTATAATGCCTAGATAAAGAGCTATAAGCATAATCTTCATGCGTCATACGACAAGGAGCAGCGGCTACAGCCATCACCCAATATGATCGCACCGACAAGAGTCGCAATACGACTTCGTCTCGACGATTTGTTTCGCAGAAATACAAAGTCGGTAACCGCAAGCGTCCGCGTAAACGTCATTGCGTAGGAACTGCACGACGTAAAACACGTTTAAAATATGACCGAGATATCGCAAAATCTAGTGCCATAGTACATGCAGGTACTACTGCGCAGTGCCATTTGTATCAAAGATAGCAATTGTAACAAGCTTCTTTGTGTCGCACCAGCTTTCCCACATTCATTCTAGGTGCTCAATGATCTATAAGTGTGTCGTCGTCGATGGCGAGCTCTGACAGTCCCAGAATTTTGTCAAACCTTACAACATATACCAGGTATGTCGCTTGCTGGGTCCACTATACTTTTCCTATCGATACTCAATACTCCATTCTTCATTCGACGTCACGTGCTAATGCGTTTTGACATTTTTACTGAGGACCTCGTCCAAACTTGTACTCTAGTTCTCGAGAACGTTCTTACTATTGCCATCAAGCAAGCGCCATCGCGATGGCAACAGTATGCCACGAGAAGAGGCAGCAGCAAGATGATTCCAACCATAGCTTAGCGTTGTTGGTCTTGCATGAACTCCAAGTGCCGATGATCCTGCAGACGTACAAGAACGGATTCCAGCTCACTGATTCTGGTTGCTAGATTCTACGTTTCGCACATGTTGACTGCAAGTGCAAAAGTATCTTCGTTCCAATCGATCTCTATCCTGTAGCGTAGTAGGTGGCCACCCACAAAGCCGAGGAAGGAAAACCCGTCCACTCATATATCAAGATGGCGCTACCGAAGCGCTGTTCTGTATACTACTAAAACACTAGAGTACTTTTGCCATGCACACTGTGAAACATCACCCTCCTGTAGCGAGTCTTTGTCGTGGACGATCTGTTTTATGTTGACCAGAAGGGAAGGACACTGCTCAGCAGAGATGATGAGGTCTATGAAGTCGGAAGATGTGATGGGTTAATAATGTTCTCCTTTCAAATTATTCCCAGCTAAGGCCGAGGCGCTACATGCGTTCCTGGCTGATAGAGAGGGTGACAAACAATTAACGTATACAAGCATTCCACTTTATCGATGACGCTATCGCCCGGTAAATTTCAGTCGTGCGAAATCGAAATACGGTCAGCTCGAACATGTCCATACTCGCCGCGATGTGTTTTTTCATAAAACGAACAACCGTCACGTCGCTGCTGCAAGCTGCCCTATTTAAAGTTGCTTCTACTTTCACGAACGCAATCCATCGTATCTATCGGACACTGCATCTTTGTACGCACAACAACGCGCTCGTCCGTGCCCCTCTCGCAAGCCCATCGTCCAAGGTTCACTGCCCCATCCAACTGTAGCATTAGCCTTGCGCCAAAGTACGCATCAGTGCACCCTCGCATCCCCTTCAACGCGCAACGTCCGTGGTTTCTCAAACTTAATCACCCTCCTCCCTCCCTCCCTTCCTCCTTCGCCCGCCTCCATGTGGCGATCGTTCGTGCGCACGTCCGGCCTCGCGTCGCTCCCTGCGGCCGCGCTCGCCGCAACGTTCTCCTCTTTCTCCTCTCCGCCATCATCTGAACCCGTGCGTGGTCTCTCCGACGCACCCATTCCCGACGCGCACCCCGTCCTACCGCCTTCAGGAGACAAAGTGCGGCTCTCGCGTCGCTTCACGCGCCGCAAACAGACGAAACACCATCGGTACGTCATCGTCGGCTCCGGCACGGCCGCCAACGCGGCCATCGAGGCCATCCGGCAAGAAGACGCGCACGCCGACATCCTCGTCCTGAGCGACGAGAACGCGCGACCGCGGCGCGACTTTACCTCGAGCGTGTGCCGTGCGGCCGACGACCGCCACCACGTTCCGCCGGCCGACGAGCCGCTGTCGCCCGCGCTGCTCCAGAGCTACAACGAGTGGCGGCGCCACTTGAGCGCGCGGTTTGAGGACGACGTCGTGTCGTCTTTGAACGCGCCGCCGCCGCTGACGCTGCTGCTCGACAAGCGGCCGCTCGAGTTTGACGTGGAGAAGAACCGCGTCCTCTTGGGCGACGGCACCGAGGTGCGCTACGAGCGCTGCCTCGTGGCGTCGGCCGGCCGCCCCAAGCACTTTTACGTGCTGGACAGCGACCGCCTCTCGTACGCGCTCAAGGACCGCGTCAACACGTGCACGACGCGCGCGGACTTTGGCCGCCTCGACCAGCTCGTGGCCGTGCCGTCGCTAAGCGGCCGCACCGACGTGCACCGCGTGCTCGTGATTGGCGCCGGCTTTCTCGGGTGTGAAGTCGCGTGCGCCTTGGCGACCGACGGCCGCAACCCCGACCGTCTCCAGACCACGCTCGTGTTTGTCGAGCACGCGCCCGGGGCCCGGACACTGCCGCGGTACCTCGCCGACGACCTCGCGCGTCGCCTCGTGCGTGTCGGCATTGACGTGGTGCCGGACCGTCTCGTCACGAGCTTGCGGCCGCGCGTCGACGACGAGAACAATGAGAGCGACCGCGGCGTCACGGTCCGCGTGCTCGGCAAGGACAAACCGGAAGCGGTGCTCGACGCCGACTACGTCGTGCTTGCGTCCACGCACACGGACCCGGCGCCGACGCTCCGGATGGGCCGCGCCACACGCGCTGGCGGCGGCCTCGAGCGCGACGAGAAGAACGGCGGACTGGTGGTCAATGCCCAGCTCGAGGCCGTCTCGGGGCTCTTTGTCGCTGGGAACGCGGCCAGTTACTATGATCCGTACTTGGGTCGACGACGCGTGGACCGGTACGACCACGCCGTGAACAGCGGCTTGACAGCCGGCCGGAATATGGCCCGGTCGCTCTTGGGGGCCGGCAAAATGAAGGTCTATCGACACCAGCCCTTGTTCCGGAGCCACCTCCCGGGCGTCGGCGTGCTGATGGAAGGGATTGGAGAAGTGGATGCGTCGCTGCGGACCGTTGGCGTGTGGGTGCGGCCGCCTTCCAGTCTTGGCACAGACGTCGATGGAGCTCGAGACCTGTCGTACGAACGCGGCATCGTGTATTATCTTAAGGGGAACAAGATCATGGGCATCTTGCTGTGGAACGCTTCGGACGTGCTGGAAAGTGCCCGGCAGCTCATGCTATCGAGACCGGAGATCCGAGACAATGTCGTGGACGAGTTGAAGCACACGATCTCGCTTGCGCCGAACGAGTGGCTGCACGTCGTGTCCACGTGAGCAGCCGTTGGAATGAATGAACGGACGAGGTTCCGGTGGTCACGAGCTCCTGCCTGGCAAGACGCTTGTAGTGTATTCATTCCGCAGACACGAGCTAGTTGTAACAAGGTTCGCCTTCTAACTGGAACGGAGCTGTCCCTCCAGGTCGATGGCCGACTCGACTGTCGTGGTGCAAATAGGTCGCGACCTCCATGTCACGTCCGCCAAACCGCATCGTCTGTGCATTCCGCCGCGTGAGTTGGTACACACTCTCGGCATTTCGCCGCAGCTCCTCCATCCGTCGAATGAGGTCGCGCTGTCGTCGCTCTTCGGTTTCCATCGACGACAACGAGGAGGTCGTGGTCGTGGTCATGGTCGTCGTCGGTTTCTTCAGGGGCATTGACGACGCGAGCGGATTGACGGACTCGCACTCGGGCAGGTCCGAGAACGCATCCGAGGGCTGGGTCTTCCTTCGACCTGCTTCGTGCTCGTACCAGTCGTTCACGAGGTAGTCGCTGTCTAGGTAGTCGCTGTCCAGGTAGTCGCTCGAAGAGCTATAGCTGCCCGTAAACTCGGACTCATCGAGCTGTTCGTTCCAGTCGTCCAGCCCAGGCGGGCAACAACTCAATGTCCGCTTTCGACCGGGTAAGTCCAGGTCGTCCATGTTCAGACTCCTTCGTCGAGCGTACAGCTCCAGCTCATCTTCATCCTGATCTTGACCTTCCTCCTCTTCTAATGGCGTCTGAAGCCTCGAGTGAGCCAAGGAAGAAGACGACGCCGTCGTGTAACTAGAAAGCGTCGGACTCGATAGGAACCGGTGCAGTTGATTCCCCGCCACTTCATCCCCTTTGCTACTGCTCGTCTTCGTCCTCAATGCCGACTGCGCGTTCAATTCCACGCGCGCGACGTCCGCGGCGCTATAGATCGAGCCCTTGGCCACACACGCCGTGCAGAAGATGGTGTTTTTCTGCTTGAGCTCTTTCGGTCGCGCGACGCGGTAGCTCAGGCGCTTGGTCACACGACACCGGGAGCACACGGCTTCCGAGCACAGCTCACAGTACGCAGTACTGCGGAACCGATGCAAGGCGGTCGCGCACACGGCGCAAGGCTCGGTTGATCCGGTCGCTTTCAACCGCTTGCCCGAGGTGACGGTCAACGTGCTCGTGGTGTTAACGGCATGACTGAGGCCGCCGTTCGCACGCTTGAACTGCTGCTGCTCGAGCAGGTACTCGAGCTTCTTGCTGAGGGAACACTCGACCGCAAGGGCAAGTTTCAAGAACGTACTCACGGTCGAAGCCGTGGCAACGGCGCATGGGATGTAGCCGCTCAAGTCGACGAGCCCCGTCATGTAGACGTCGACCGTGTTGTTGGAGAGCTGCTGGAAGAGGTTGCACGACGCGACGCGCGCCCGTAGCACTTGGTGTTTCTCCGACAAGGCCCCGAGACCAGGGAGATCCACCGAGTGCGTGACGTAGTACCCGAGGCGGTCGCCGTTCGGACGCACGAGGACGCCGGACGCCTCAATAAAGACAAAGTCCCGCTTCGTCGTGATCTTGGTCAGCTCCAGCACGTGCCACTTGATCCCGCAGAACTGGAACGGGTTGTCGACGGTTGGAACCTCAATGCAGTGCAAGAGCTCGGAGTCCACGAGCTCTTCGTTCGTGTACGACGCCCGGATGAACGTCGACGTCGCGTCCGTCGCGAGTAAACCGTACATGACGTCGTCGAGCGTCCCGGCCATTGACCCGATGGTCAAGAGTTTCGGGGACCGAGAACTTGTTGCAAGTGAGGCCTCACTCGGGTCAACCTCCGAGCACGAGTCGGAGGTTGACGACGACGAGTTCGGACTCGGCCACAGCGGCGTGCCGGCCTCACTTTTCTCAGGTTGGACGCCGCTCGACCGATGACGGTAACAAATGAGGTTCTCCACGCGCTTGACGACTTTGTATTGAGACCGCGGCAGTAAGCGCCGGTGGTGATGCCGATGCGTCTCGTACTCGGCCAAGGTCTCATCGAGTGTCTGCTGAACGAGAAACTCGATGCTCTGGGTTTGAGCGGCTGACAACGTTGGGTAGTTGCCAAACGGGGCTCGAGATAGAGGGAATCGCATGCTCCGGTTGACCGACCCGTTCAGCACTCGGTTGCAACGAGGAACTTGGGGAATGCGTCCGTCTGGCTCCTGTCTAGCTAGCTACTGAGCTAGCTAGATGGTAACGTGACGTGGATGTGGGGCGCAACTCCCTCCAGTGCGTTCAGGTTGATGCTTTCGAGTTCACTCTCTCCAGTAGAAAGAGAGCGAGAGAGTGAGAGCGCGAGGTGTGTATGTCTGGTACGAAGGGGGATGTAATGAACGAGAGGCACCTCATGAGAATAGAGAGTTCTGATCCAGCGAGAGATGTGTGTGTGTCGCGGCTGATGCATCGATAGGTGGACGGGATGAAGGGAGGCGTCACAAAGGTCGAGCCGAGAGTTTGAGCTGACATCTCAACTTGCGACTGAACCGACGTGGCCCAGGCGACGTCGACTGTCTAGAGGAGCACGTGGGTCGAGTCGAAAGCATCAGTCAAGCGAGATACGTGCATGTGTGTAACAAAGCGGCGCGCTGCAACGGGTCCCGACTTCCCCGTTCGGACGGTGGACAGTCGCGTACGTGCAGATGATTTCAAGTCAACCTCTGGACGTCCCCTCGGGTCGTGTGGTGTCCAGCACGACTAGTTCTTTCGCGCCGCAACCCAACCAGGTTGGTAGGTGTGAGTGGATGGTGTTGACGTCGGGGTGAACGGCCTACCGAGCGGCTCCAGCAGTTTGTCGTGATCTATCGACGCATAGTTCAAGTTTGGATGGATGCAATCGATGAGGAAGAGGAGAAGGAGGACACTGAGTACATTCGTTCAGCTTGATAAATAGCACAGCTCATAGACGTCGCACTTGACTACGACTGCTTGCCAATGCCGACGGTCATCGCACGCGTTGAACGCAGACCCACCACGTTGAAAGCAAAGGGCTGGGAAAACGTCCGAACGCCACGGAGGTTGCCAGCCGCGTGGGACGGCGAAGGCTTGGCCACGCGACCGCTGTCGCGCTTCTTGAACGCCGCTTCCGTGTTGGCTCGAGCGACTTGGTACGTCGATTCCACGACGTTGTGCAAGTCCTGCATTTGCTGGAAAAGATGGTGCTGGTACGTCGCGGTTTCCTCGGACGAGACCGTCGTGTGCGCTCGGTGCTCACGCGGCGGCGGCAGGTCCAGCGTGAGCTTGATATCCGGCTCGGACTTGCCCTTCTTCAGGTCGAGCTGAGTCATCGACATGACGTCGTCCTCACTCTCTCGGCCGCCGTCACCATCGCCTTGCGCCGACGTGTGGCTATCGTCGGATACTTGCTGCCCCGATACTTCTGTACCTTCCGAAGTCAGCTCACCTGTTCGGTTGTCCTCTTCAGCAGGTACCTCTTCCTTTCCATCCTGCATGCAACGCTCTGCCGGGTCCTCCTCTCCCTCCTGCTGCTTGTCACCTGATGACGCTGGATCCGAAGCCGCCTCACGCTCGTGCTTTTCACCTTCATCCCCCTCGACAATCGGAGACTCGCGCTGAGATTGTGTGGCTTCACTCCGAGGTGTCTCGCACGCTTCATAGTCGTCGTCCAGCACAGCCACCGACGAGGCGTAACTTGACCGCCCCTCAAGTTCGTCACCACTCTCGAACTCGCTGTAATCTTCCGTGTCCTCGCTCTCGAGTTCGTTCACGAGGTCCTGCTCCCCCACGGACAAGACGTAGTCCAGATGCCGGAGACTGCGAATAGTCAGGGTCATGCGGTGATCCAGCACGACCGGCTCCTCTCCTCTCGCTTCCTCCTTCCCATCATCAGCATCATCACCAACAACAGCAGTGACTGCTCCTTTGCTGTTATCCCCCATGCCAAGGTCCGTAAGTGAGAGCGACTCGTTCGGCAAGGTAACACCCGACAACCGATCCGTGCTCATGCTCAAGGTGCTCCGCGTCCTGTGCTTAGTCAACGAGCTTGGAAGCTGCAACGGGGTCGACAACTGAGTCGAAGTCGACAGCCGAGGACCTACCGAGTAGCCCAGCGACGACTCTTCGTACTGCGGATTCCGACTCTGGCTGGAGCCGTCCAGGTCGCGGCCGTAGCTAAAGCAGCTCGTCGCCCCGCTGCCTCGGCTGTTTGTATCACTGCTTCGACCCAGCACAACGGTCGAATACGTGCTCTTCTCCTGCGAGAAGCTGCTTCTCGCGTGCGTGGTCGAGACCCCCGACGACAATCGCGTGCGGCCCTGCGTACGGACCCACAATTCTCGACGCGCGATCTCCAGGGCACTCTCGTCGCCGACACTCGCGACGCACTTCTTGCAAAAGTCGATGGCCGACTGCGTGATCTGCGCATTGAGCGTGTTGCTGCTGAGCTTGCGCACGACGCGGCAGCGACTGCAGATCTGGTCGCAGCAGAGCTGGCACGAAAGGGTCTTGGACAGCTTCCCCAGCTTGCCCCGGCAAACCCCGCATTGACGACGACGGGCCGTCGAACTGTAGTCACTCCGCTGGGATACAGGCTCCATTGTCTCGTGCACGGACGACTCGTTCACTGGCCGCAGCGCGGACATCCCACATCGAGACGACCTGGCGAAGCTACTCCCGAGTGCGTGACTGCCATACGACGACGCGAGTGCGGTCGCGTTGGCGGCCGACGGCCGCTCGTTCTGTAGACAGAACGCGAGCTTCTTGTTGTGTGCACAGCTCACGGACTTCCAGCAATTACTCAGAGCAGTGGCGGCCGACCGCACGGCCATTCGGTCGAGCACGTGTCCGCGCGGGTCCACGGACGCCGTCATGAACATCTGCACGAGGTTGTTGCACGTTTCTTCAAAGATGTAGCAGCTCGAGACATTGGCCCGCACGATGCGGTGCTCGTGGAGCTCCCGGCACGTCGGGAGCTGCACCGAGTGCATGAGGTGGAAGCCAACGCGCGAGTTATCGGGCCGCATCATGACGCCCGAGAACTCGAGCACGACAAAGTCCCGAGGCAGAACGATGCGCGTCGCGCCGCGATGTTTCGCACGAACCAACCACTTGATCCCTAGGAAACTGAAGGGGTCAGCGGCCGACGGACCTTTGATCTCGCGCAGCACCGCGCAGTCGGCAATGTGTTCATCAAGGTACGAGCTCCGGAGACGAACGGACGACGCGTTCGGGGACACGACGCCGTACATGACGTCGTCCAGGGACCCCCGCAAAGTGCCGACCGCAAGCAGTCGCGGCAGCCCCGAGTTGTCGTTTTGTTTCGTGCCGGAAAACGCGGCGGTCGTGACGTGCGGCGGCTCGAACGAACCGTCACCGTTGCAGCTGCTGTAGCTGTTGTTCCCGGTCATATCGAGGCTCGTGTCCTGCGTGTCCATGTCCGAGAACGACTTGGCCTTTCGCGGCGACGCAGGGCCAAAGGCGTACGCGCTGTTGACCGAGACACCGCATTGACTAGTGCCGGCCGAAAGGGCGGACGTCTGCAGACCCGTCGACCGGTCCGCCTGGTGCTGAGGTTGACTCGGTCGACTACTCGTTGTCGACAGAGTGCTTTGATAGAGTGCGAGACTCGTGGGCGTCTGTTGACACACGTCGGCGCCCGACGTGCGCTCTTGGTAGATCGAGACGCCGTCGCGCGTCCGAATGGGTTTCCAGCGTCGCGCGTCTACGCGTTTGTGGTCGCGCCGGACGAACCGGTCGTACTCGCCAAGTGTGGCCTTGATGAGCGTATTCGCAAGCTGCTCGAAGTCGCGCTCCTGTGCACTCGAGAGCTCGAGCGGCGGGAAGAGGTTCTTCGGCAGCGGGAACTTCATAACGGAGACCCTGTGTGTGTGTGTGTCGCACAGTCAGCCGTTGGTGCAACGCTGGCCAAGTTTGTTCTGAACTAGTGAGACGTTCAGACGGTGACAGGGTCTAGTACGAGCACTACGACTACTGCTGCTGCTGCTATTACTCGGTCTCTTTCGATCACGCGATCTGCTACAAGTCACGGCAATGTCCTCGCGCGAGACGCTAGTGGTAGGTGGACTAGAGGCGAGCGGGTCGTACCTCCGGTCGGTTGGCAAATGGCGCGACGGTGGAAGAGCGCGCTGGCTTGATAGTGGACAGCTGGCTCCCCATCAAAGAGCAGAGTTGAGCAGAGCCCGAGCACGTGGCAACGCGACGACAAGTGCACCATCGTCCGGCCACGCACGGGGCATGTGTGTGTGTGATCTGCGACCATTGCGCCGTCTACCCCCTCCCCCTGCATAGGGTCGCTGCAAGACCCGACGAGCATGCTAAAGGTGGATGCAGGTGCGTGGATTCAGGAACCTTCACTGCACGATCAAAGCCCACGACAACAGCTTGCTTTCAATTCGACTGCGACTTTACCATCTGATCGCGGTCTTGCTGAAATGTCGGGAGTGTGATGGCGCCACTAGCGACGATACGAGTGTAGTTGCAGAGGATCTTGACGCGACAAATGGGTTGGCAGCCGACGTGGGCAGCGGGAAGAAGAAGAAGAAGAAGGTCAGGAGCGTCGAAGTGCGGCGGACTGTTTTCCGACCTGTGGTATCATCTGACCGGCTTCTGAAGACGACACAAACGCTAAATAACACGCTCTATCCGACGATCGACAAGGTGGGATCGAGAGAGACGCGTCGCTAGGATAAATGGTATGAACTTGCGAAGCCGCAGCAGTCCAGAGACGAGAGGGAGGGAGGGAGGGGTCAGTTCACTTGACGCAAAGCACTGCTCCAGTCGCGAATCGGACATGTCGCGTCTTGAAGATTGTTTCCACGAGAATAATCCGGGACCCTCTCGTGAAGGGATCGTGCAACACATTACGACGACGTGCACGTGCGCGCTTTGGAGCTCATTTGACTATTCGGCTTTGTGCGGCGGTGTTGTTGCAGCACTTGAATGGTCTCAGGACGTCGTCACACAGATAGCTCTGGACCGCCACTTTACGTCCGCTAATCATCGTCTCCTTTATTCACAAGACGTTGCGTACAACGCAGCATAGTGTTCGACACATGTACTGCCATCTCTTCCTCGTCGTATCCGACCTACGAATACTGATTGATTGCTCGGTGGTGCTGTATTACCAATCATGCGGAACCGTCAAAGCTGCCGCTGTCCTGGACACGTGGGAATAGCGTCAGTCGACTACTTGACGTCTGCAGATGGTGTAATCAGCTGCTAATGAGACGATCAAGACATCCGACACGAGTCTCACGTGGTTAAGACCGTGGTATCTGATCCTCAGCGCAGCACGCGTCTTGCCAAAGACAAACGATCCGTGACAGAAGCACGATGTTCAACAACTAAAGGTTCTTAACCACGGTGACGACGGTAGGGTGGTGAGAGCGTAGTCCAGTGCTCGCTACGTGCGGGTCATTCCATGCACGAGCTACTTCCGGCTGTCTAGAGACGCGTTCGTGCGTGACCATCAGGTGCATCTGTTGTCGTCTGAGCGGTTCTAGAGTACGAACGCAAGCTCTGTAAAGCCACGTTGGCAAGGCAGCAGTCAGCACAAAGGGCGTCATGGTACCTTACTTGAGTCGCTAGTCACTCAAGTTTTTGGACAGGATCGTAGAGACGCGATTGAAGCATGTTTGGCTTCGTATCCTAGCAACGCGCTTGAGAATGACAGGACGATGAAGCCGAGTCTGTTGCAGGCAGCAGTAGGATGCTATCGTGCGTGTAGTAGCGTACAGTCCACGCCCTCGAATCGATGTGTCGAGTGGTAAGACGCCTGACATCAAGGCGGAACCGGATCGAGCTCTTACTTTGGCTCTGGCCCCTCGTTTGTCAGGATGTTCTCTACAGAATCGCAGCATTACTCCCAGCCGTTTCGTTCCTGAGCAACTCGGAGATGCTAGCGTCAACTAGAAGACTTCCAAGTTGTAGGCTGTAAAACTTCTGACCTTGACGGTACTCGTCGGACGGTGAGTGGTGTGGCTACAGAATCGATGCATCTTGCAGGTAGAAGAGGACAGGTGACATCGTTTCGCACCGCAAAGGTACCGCCGAGCAGAGCCATGGAAGTCAGAGTCGATCAGCTTCCAGTACGTCATGAATGGCGCATAAAATCTCAGCTGCTGGCGCTGCAACCACGACGTGAAGATCAGATCAAGCGGAGAATGGGACCTGCATTAGCAAAACATGATCCCGCTCTTGGCTCACGTCTTGCATACTGAAATGCACCCGGTGGTTGGTTTTGGCTGGTCACTCCCTCGCTCAAGTAAAGTGGAGCTGGTGTACTAGCATCCGACTTCATAGATTGACAGTCAATCAGTCACCCTTGTACCCTTCTTGTGCGTCTGTCAGCTCGATGCCTGATGCAGATGTAGATGTACCTGCCTGTAAATCACTAGACCAGGTGATCGCCAGCTATTTGCGACTGCATACATGATGAAATGACCATATTGGTGCGAATTGTATCCCCGTTTGTGTCGCACAGTGCCTCACGACCGATAGAAATGGGGATGACAGACGCATTTTGAATGGAAATTGACAGGCACACCCAGGCGTGCTGTTTAAAGTAATCAATTCCCACAAATTGTAACGTAAATGTGTGAAAATCTATATTATTTCGTTCTCAATTTAACGTGCGAAACGTTCGATTCATCACCATTAACTACTCCACAGCAATTTTCGTTGTTTCCGATTGGAGATATGGGCCTTCGCGTTCGAAGACACGCAGGGTGGCCTTGATGATGGACGAAGAAAAAATGTGTTGGACTAGTAGCAGCAACAAAGAAATTGCTGTAGCTGCAAAGTTCTTGGCCTGGTTTAAGAGAAGCTGGGCCCCGAACCCTTCACACATTTTACACAGCACACACTATGTAGCCCACGCAAGAAAGCTCAATATGAACCCCCCAGGTCTGCGTTTGTTATGCAACACGAATATTACCTGTGCCAAGATCGTCTAACTCTGCACTCACTTTTACGTTCGAGTCGACGAATACCGGTCGTTGTATGAAAGCTGGAGCAAGGTTTAGCTTAAGACATGAAAGCACGAAAACGAATGTCGCTATTCCGTACATCTTTATCACGATGTGCTAGATACCAAGGGCTCTGCCGACGAACAACGACACGGATGTAAACAACCCCATAGAGAAGAGACATGAATAAGGAGAAAAAAGGTGGATAGATACGCTGCTGAGGCAAAGTAAAGAAGACGCGCTGTGCTCTCTTGTATTGGAACATTTGTGTAACGGGGTGAATCGCTACATAACAATTTATAAGAAATCGTTAATAGAATATAACTATAAGAGTTATATTCTCAGAATATTGTCATACGGACAATATCCTGCAGCACTTACGAGTAGTTCCTAATTGGTTGATATAGGCCATTATATCAACCAACGAAGACGCGCCACGACAGACGCGCGCAACGAGTGGTAAGCAGATAGTTGATATGCACATTTGTATTTAGACATAGTTAGATGAAGATAAATAGTGATTTATTGCAGACATTAACTATGCTAAATACAGTTCTACTTTTTACTTTAACTAAGTACACGCTTCTTCTTACCGTCTTCCTCTGCACGTACGAGTGTACGTGAAGTTACGAGGCACCGCCTTATTCTGTCTTCAGAATAAGCAGCTTGTACTGTCACCAGTACAAGCTTCAGGGTGCCCCGTTACAAAGGTTGAATATGACTGCATCTAAACCAAAGTGGTGGTCATGCATGACATACCAGGCGAGGAGGCATCGAAGTGCGCACATCCGGTAAAAACGACACGGGCATTGGACGTGCAAACTGATCAACTTGTGTGTGTGATTAAATACAAAGGACGCGTCGTAGAGTTGGCAGCCAAACAGCCAGCAACATGATTTTGTCTTTATCGATAAGTTTCTTGTTGCTGCAAGAATGTCAACATCTCAGCAGTATTTCTGAATACGTGGCGCGTGCTCCACACTATTGATGGGTATGTATGAGGTCAACAAACACGAGTACATCATTCTCAAACACCTTCTCGACTGTGCACATCTGTCATGGTGAAAGTTGGATCTAAGATCATAGTCTTCGCTTGCATACAGGTTTATCAATCATTGACTGTGCCATGTATTTACTATCTCCTTGGCTATGACTCGATCAGGTGTGCCCTCATCGATGTGGATGCATGCTAAAATCCAGCAAAAATGCAAGGGCTTTTTGCGAGTACAGGGTGGACGTAAGGACCAAAACTTGCGCCACGCTTTGCGCTGCCTCTACCATAAAAACGAGCGTGCTCGAGGTGCTCGCAATACGGTCGCCACAGATGCTGAATTTGTTGCATCGGCGTATGCAACATGAGATGAGCTATATCATCTGAACAAATACATACTCTACAATTTCGATAGCCTGAAATGTAGTACCTGATGCGAGAAATAGACTGTAGACTATGCGTTTTCAATCGTGTCACCATTCTCGAAGTCGCCCTCGAAAGTGTGGGCGTCGTGGTAAACTGACGAGGAAGAGTAACTTGGTGGTGACATTGTCTGTCTCGTCATCTGTCCCTTCAAGCCGCACATATTGATGACAACATCTAAGCAATTGTAGCTTTCTTTAACTTCGGTTTGCAGAAGAAAATATAATTTTTAGCGCAGCGGTGTAACGGGGCACCCTGAAGCTTGTACTGGTGACAGTACAAGCTACTTATTCTGATAACAGAATAAGGCGGTGCCTCGTAACTTCACGTACACTCGTACGTGCAGAGGAAGACGGTAAGAAGAAGCGAGTACTCGGTTAGAGTAAAAAGTAGAACTGTATTTATAATAGTTAATGTCTGCAATAAATCACTATTTATCTTCATCTAACTATGTCTAAATACAAATGTGTAAATCAGTTATCTGCTCACCACTCATTGCGTGCGTCTGTCGTGGCGCGTCTTCGTTGGTTGATATAATGGCCTATATCAACCAATTAGGAACTACTTGGAAGTGCTACAGAATATTGTCCTTATGACAATATTCTGAGAATATAACTCTTATAGTTATATTCTATTAACAATTTCTTATAAATTGTTATGTAACGATTCACCCCGTTACATCACCCCCCTTAACCATCAGTCACTTTAGTGACTGATTGACTAAATGGATACTCGTCCCAAATCATTTGGGACGGGGTTTGCACTTGTTGGTCCGCGTCCACTTTCCAACATCTCATCGCATGGTAAACAAGCCCATGCGATGCGCGAGCAAGGCCGCCGAGAGCGCGTCTGCACGTCTCTGTGCGGACGCCGAAGCAGAAACTACAGCAACTGATATCCCATCGGTTGCTGAATCGACTCAGCCTGTATCACCTGGTGATGCAGGCGCTGGTCATGAAGACACTCGTGTCTTCACAGAGTACGAGCTCGGTGTCTCGTACTCTCCTGATACGGATGACGGATCCGTATCGACGGCAATTGAATCCAAGCCGCCTGCCAAGCGTGGCATGAACGATGCTTTGCGTCGCAGCATCTTTGGTTCATCTGATGAGTCAGATGAACCATCGCCGAAGCGAAGGCGCTCGAGGTCGCGAGACTCGGGCGCTAATAGTGGTGTCGTTTCTCCAATGGACACCACTTCACAGCGAGGTGCCAGTACTTCTGTCGGCACGTCGCAGGAAGAGCGGGACCGCAATGTGTTGCGTCTCGCTCCAGAAAAGAAGGCATGGATGCCTCCTAAATCT